CGATTCCCGTTAATAAAAATAAAAAGAGATATATTTAATTCATCGACGATTAAGAAAAGAAGAATACTTAGAAAGAGAATATAAACTTTATAAACTAGACGAAGCGAGTAAGCAATATTAATAATAATATTGAGAAATAATAGTATACTCTAATTAGCTATTAATACTATAATATAATATAAGAAAATTTAAAATAATTATAATAGAACTCTTCGATAACGAAAAGATCTATAATATCGATATAGTAGTAATTTAGAAGCTCTAGAGAAATACTAATATAAATATATTATATTATTTTCTAAAGAATAGATTTAACTTAATCTATCTCTATTATAATAATATATAAATATACTTCTATATTAATAAGAGAATATTACTAAAGTAATAATACTTATTATATTACTTATTAAACCTCTATACTCTTAATATTAAATTCGAAAATAATAGAATTATACGTATATATAATATCTATAACCTCGGCGATTAATAAATAGATAAACTTAATAAATTATATAAGACGCTTACGAAGTCTAAGAATAACGAATAGATTATACTAGGCGATTTTAATCTTTATTACACGATATAGAGAGAATTAAATACTTATATCGATAAGAGAGTAGAAGAATTAATACTTATAGCGAAAGAATTCGCTATAAAATAAGTATTATTAGTAGAAACGATAATATACGAAGAAAACTATTAAATAATAATAGATCTACTATTCGCTACTTTAGTATTAATAATAAATATTATTAACTATAATATCGAAAATAATTTCGAAAATAAATCTAATTATCTCTTAATTCTTATAAAGCTTAAATTAATCGTAATAGAGTTAGTATTAATAATATATCGAAACTTTAATAAACTAGACGTCGAGGTTCTAAGAGAGATACTTATTTAAGCTATAATATCGAAAGAGTATCTAGCTAATTTCTAAGAGAATAGTAAAAACCTTATTAACGATAGTATCGATTATTAAATAGCGATTATTATTAACTCTATCTAAGCGACTATAGAGGAGTTTACTTCGATTATTAGATTATTACTATAATTTAAATCGAGATTTATACTAAAATATAAGAAAGTATAAAGGCGTTATAAATCGCTAAAAAGAAGTTGAAGAATAACGCTCTTAAAGAAAGTATAGAATAAGTATAAAGTCGTTAAGAACTTTAAAAATAATTTAATTAAGAGAACTATTAGAAAGACATTTAGAGAGTTTATAATAGAAATATATAAATCGTTATAAATAATATAGAAAAAGATTAAGTAGACTAGAAAATAACTTATAATATAGACATATCTCCCTTCGCTATTTAATAAAGATAAATAAAAATATAACGAACTAAACTCGAAGGTAGATCTTCTTATAAAAACGTTCTTCTTATTATTAATATAGACGAAGTTAAATAATATTAGCGTTAATATAATATATTTATAAGTTTATCTAATAAGTATAATTATTATAAATAAGATAAGAAAGATTATAACGTAGATATCGTTAAAGAGAGTATCGAGAGAAAACGCGATCCCTAATCTAATTCTCAAGAAGATTCTAAAGTTATTACTCTCTTATCTATATAGAATATTTAATATATATATAACGAACGACTACTATCTAGAGTACTTTAGAATATTAATAATAATTATTCTTTCGAAGTCGGGTAAGGATTATTCGATTTCTAAAGAATATCGACTAATAGCTTTACTTAATATTATAGAAAAGATAATAAAATTTATTCTTACTAGAAGAATAGCGTATCTTACGAAGATATATAGACTCTTATCGATTATATATATAAAAGGCCATAGATTATAATTATATAAATACGATATTTACTATCTTCTAGAAAGAATATATTAAGTCTAAAACTCTAATAAAGTAACTACGATATTACTACTAGACGTTTCAGATATATATAATAAAATCTCTTATCCTCGACTACTCTATAATCTTTAAAAGCGAAAAATCGATATAAGAGTAGTTAACTAAATAGAATTATTCTTATTTAATAAGATAACGATATTAAAAATAAGCGAATACTCTATATTAAAGACTTTTATAGTAATCGAAATTCCTTAAGAATTATCGCTATCGCCTATACTTTATCTCTTCTATAACTTAAATCTCATTAATAAATATAATAGTTATATCGACTTAGAAACGATAATTATCGACTTTATAGATAATATAAACCTTCTAATAATAGAAGACTCTATCGAGAAAAACTATAATATACTTTATAAAATTCACGACGAAGTTTATATAAAGTGAGCGTTATAATATAGATCGAAGTTTGATTTCAATAAATATTAATTACTATATCTTAGTAGAAAATAGAAATTTAGCTTAAATTATTCTCTATAACTTAATAAGAGATAATATATTAAGACGAGACGCTTTATTTACTATCTAGAAGTCGAAATTAACTTTAAACTTCTATAAAGCTATTATAATAAGAAGATTCGATCTAAAGCTATTAAAAGTATTAATATACTAGCGAGAATCGTCGAATCGATATAGAATAGTAATTATAAGAGTATAAGATAGCTCTATTAAACGATTATTATCTTATAAATAACGTACTACTACTTAATATAATATTAGCTCGAAGATACTATTAATTATAATAAAACTTATCTCTTATTACTATAAAGAATTTAATCTCAGATAAAGAGGAAAATAACTAAAGTATTTAAGGTTATATTTATTTTAGCACTCGATATAGAAGCGTATTTTCTATTAGTTAAATAATAACTAAATAAGATTATCTCGAAAGTTATCTTATAAATCGCTATTAGTCTAGTATATAGCGAGATTATTAAGCTATATTTCGAGCGATAGAAGTTTAAGAGAAAACTTAAGAAGAATAGAAAACTAAGTCTACTAAAGCGATATATTAATAGATTTAAAGAATAATATAATAATATTAATAAGATTAAAAAACTACGCTCTTTCAGCGTCACTCTCAACTAAGAGCCTTTTAAAATAATAATTTATAAGATTAAAAAAATCGCTAAAGAATTAATTAAAAGATTAATTAATAAAAGTTATATAATAATATATATAGACGATAGCGAAATTAATAAAAAAGTAAAAGCTTTAACTATATCGTTAGATATTAATTTTATTTTTAATATCTATTTAAGCTTAAGTAATTAATATATAATATACTTAACGAAGTTATATAATATTCTTTAAGCTTTAACTATAGTAATTATATATTAAATAAAGCTATAACTTAGTAAAGTTATAGTAAATATAAATAATTAAATATTAATTTAGACTATTAAAGACTTAAGTAAGTACTTAAAGTAGATCTATATAATATAGACTATATAGATTATTAATTCGCTAAGACATCTTAAAGTAATAATAGAATTATACTAAATCTCGGCGTATATTAATATCGATAATAATAAATAGACGAATAGAGAGATAAAGAAGACTATTAACTAGCGAGAGTAAGTAGTTTATAATAAAAGAGTAGAGATAAATACTAACGAAATAATCTAATTATTAGTTATATAGATAAGAATAATATCGATAATTAAGATAGCTATTAGAGATCACGCGATGAAATAATAGACTATCGAATAAGCTAATAAGAAATAAGATAATATTCTTAGAAGAATTTAATTAATATCGTTAAAATAAATATAACTTCTATATTCGAGAGTTAAGCGCGTTAAAACGTCGCTAATAATATAAATAAAAATCGAGAAAATAGATCTTAAGGCCTTTCTTTATAATCGATAAGTATCGAATATAGAGAATAAAGAATACGAGTATAAAGCGAAGTAGACGACTCGATATATTCTTTACAAATATAGATTATTTAATAAAAAGCGAGGAATATAGTAAATCGAAGAAAGAAGGAAGGTGAAAGAGGAGATTATTATTTATAAGAATATACTAATAAAACCACGCTACGCCTTTATAGCGATAGACTTTATAAGAAGTATTAAACTTATTAGATAATATTAAGCCCTTAATAAGAACTAATAATAAGGATTTACTAGAGTAAGCGGTTAAAAAGAAGAATACGATTAAGACGAAAGGGCTCTAGCGATATAGAGTATATCTCTTTTCAAGAATTAAGTATAGTAAGACGCGAACTATAACGATAACTTATATAGTCTCATTTATTTAAGATTATATAATTGATCGAAAGAATTAGATAGATTACGTAACTCGTATAGTCGGCTACTAGAATAAGACTTTAGGGTAGTATGATGTAATTAATCAATCAATATAGGCTTTCATAGATTCTATATCCTTTGCTATTTATATAGTAGAACTATTTTATTTAATTAAAGGTCTTGCCCAGATGGTAATCGTGGCCTTATAAAGTGATTATTATTATTATACGTTCGTTTAAAGTCTTTCACAGCCGTTTATTAGCTGATTAGTGATTTATTCTTCAAATCACTTATTTTACCTTAGTGGAGAGCTTAGAGAGCCCCTTTCACTATTGCTATCCACCTTCGTCAAAGTAGCTTATCTCAATGGCAGTCTCCTATTAGATCTTGCTAAGCCTATAACAAGCATGGCCTATAAGTCGATTGATCCTCGATTCACTCGTAGTAATTACTTCTTCGGCAATGGAGTATCCGCTACTTAATAGCTAAAATACTTTTATATTATAATATTCGGCTACGAGTATACGTTAAAGTAGTACCTCGAATAGCTTAATATACTTCTTATAAACGACGCTGGTAATTGGGCCGATACGAATCCTAACGCTATCCGTCTTCTTAACGAGTTAGCTCCGTCTCAGCAGATTATTATCAGCTTTACAAGCTTATTCTATACACGATTTAAGCCCCTTATCGAGTTCCACAGCGGAGTATAAGACCAGCCACCACAGCTACCGAAGCAGCCTGTCGTACTAGAGAAGCCTACTCCACAGCTACCAGAGCCTACTCCAGAGCTACCAAAGCAGCCTACTCCAGAGCTACCAAAGCAGCCTCCCCTACAGCTACCAGAGCAGCCTATGCCAGTCATACCACAGTCAGCTCCATCAGTACCAGAGCAGCCTACTCCAGAGCTACCAAAGCCTACCCTACAGTTACCAGAGCAGCCCGTCATACCACAGTCAGCTCCGTCAGTACCAGAGCAGCCTACCTTACCTGAGCAGCCTACCGTACCACAGCTGTCAGAGCTACCACAGCAGCCTACTCCACAAGTACCAGAGCCTACCCTACAGCTACCAGAGCAGCCCGTCATATTACAGTCAGCTCCATCAGTACCACAGCAGCCTACTCCACAAGTACCAGAGCAGCCTGTCATACCAGAGCAGCCTACTCCAGAGCTACCAGAGCAGCCTACTCTACAGCTACCAAAGCCTACTTTACAGCTACCAGAACAGCCTCCCCTACAGCTATCAGAGCAGTCTATGCCAGTCATACCACAGTCAGCTCCATCAGTACCAGAGCAGACCGTCATATCACAGTCAGCTCCGTCAATATTGCAGCAGCTACCTCAGCCCGATTTCACGTTTACACTTTTTTTTTTTTTTTTTTTTTTTTTTTTTTTTTTTTTTTTTTTTTTTTTTTTTTTTTTTTTTTTTTTTTTTTTTTTTTTTTTTTTTTTTTTTTTTTTTTTTTTTTTTTTTTTTTTTTTTTTTTTTTTTTTTTTTTTTTTTTTTTTTTTTTTTTTTTTTTTTTTTTTTTTTTTTTTTTTTTTTTTTTTTTTTTTTTTTGGGGGGGGGTTTTTTTTTTTTTTTGGGGGGTGGGGGGGGTTTTTTTTTTTTTTTTTTTTTTTTTTTTTTTTTTTTTTTTTTTTGGGGGGGGATTTTTTTGTTTTTTTTTTTTTTTTTTTTTTTTTCCCCCCTATTTTTTTGTAAGTTTTTAGGGGGGGGGGGCAAGGGCCCGCTCTATTGGGACGGCGTGTCTTGGCACAGTCACTGCGGCACCCATCTCTGGTAGGGCTGCACGTAGGAGTACCTTAGTGTGGAGATCTACGGCAGGGATTTACAGTAGGAGCTCCTGGCGCCGCCTTGCAATTCTCTGCGATATCTCTTACTCTTCGCTATCCAAGGTTACTTGAAGTACTAATAGCTAAAGTAGCTAAAGTCAGCCCTGTTTCTTTAATCGTCAGAGACTTCTATTAAGTCCGATAGAAGCAAAAAATGAAATCCCAGTCAAGTGTAAATCCCAAACTCATATTATGTGGCAACACTTCAGTCTGCGCCTTATCTGAGGCTCTGAGCACTTGAGACTCCTGACGCCGGCTCTTGTGTGCACGTTGCTGTCGTTCAAGCGGATCGGCGCCCTTCCAATTACCCTCCACTTCAGATATAGCACAAGGTTGGGCAGCTCGCAGACAACGTCAGCACTTTCGGATTGTCTCTCTTCTCGCAACCGTTCATTCAGATCACCGTACATTCCGCATACCCTGCTTGATGATAAGGACGATCGAAGCGATGGAAGCCGCCAATGTCACTCTGACTGAGGAGACCAAAGGATTATGGGACTGTGTGGATCGGCGGCGGGAGAAAAGTGTGCTATGCGTTCAGACATGTCTTAGATGTGAAGGTATAGCAACGGAAATCAATCCGGGTAGTAATAGGTGTGTACCCCGTTTCGAAACATATGTAGCCCCCTGATTTGATAATTGCATGGGAATCCGCATATAAAAGTCCTGGACGGTCGTCAGAACTCCTGCGCCAAGATCTCGAATAATATCCCGCCTGCAGCATCGTTTCGACTATACCCTTGTGTCTGCTTTCTGATCTATCTGAGCTCGGGTCCGCATCTACGACCACTGTCAGACCCAGTGTTATTCTCTAAAATTCACATCTATACGTATGCTTTTGGGAAATACTCCTCGGAGACCCTAGCGCTCGGGCGACCGACCCGCATATTTTAAGAGCTGATCCCGATTCGCTGATGCCGATTGAGATCCAATTGCATTTTTATAAAAAGCGGACATTCTTACTGATTCTGTTTTGAATGGCTCGCTTATGCTAGGTAGCAACAGCACGATATCCGCCGCGTATACTCGTTCGACAGATACCGTCTGTGCCTTTCTTCCACGGCCTGTATGGTGTATCTTACGTAGGCCACGTAGTGGGGCGGAGCATCGGTAGACATGAGGTGCAGTGGGTTGGGCGTCTGTCGTCGTTTGCCTGCCTGCTTTGGCTGGCTCTTTCGTATCTTGTCTCCTTTGACTGACTACCTAGCTAGCTGGCTTCCTTGCATACGGAATAGATATTTCCCCTTCTTCGTCGTCGTAAACGCTTGCACCGTCGACGGCGGCGTTGATGCTACGTCCCATGGCCCTACGCCGTCTCCCCGTGCTGATTGCCCCAAGCGCAAACATCCTGGCTCCTCAGCGACAAATTTTCCTTTGCGGCCCATCTGCCGGCAACTGGCTGGCTTCGAAAAAGTTCACCCTGAGGCTTTGCGGCAGGCAGTGTTGAGGGGCTGGGTATGGGTGGGCTTTGCAAGACCTGCGAGCGGCGATGGAATTGTCGTTCTTGGAGAACATGGGGCGGCGAAATCAATGCCCTCGTCATTGTTGGTGTCGTTGGGTATGTCGTGTACGCGGCTTTGATCTTGATGCGAGTATCTTTTCTATCGGTGCTGGGAGCTCTCGGCTCCGTGTGGAGATCTATCACGCGTTGGACGCTAGAGACGAAACATGGTTCCTGCAGTAGGTGTGGAGAAAAAAGGGTGATACGGTACTGGGAGGATGGGTCGCTGGAGAATACGGTGATTGTGGATTGGACAATGGTTTGTGGGAGCTGTTCGGAAAGAGGAAATAAGGAAGGAGGTCGCTTGTTGGGAAGGATGGGAGGCGATTGCTTGGGGCTATGAGAGTGGACTGTTGTGGGTTGAAGTCAATTCCGGAGTTGGGCGCGGAGGGCAATTTTTATCGGTGGATAGGCTGCTTGGTGAGCAACCACGTGCCGATTCCGCTTCTTACCGCTCTGACCAGTATCGCTTTTTCCGGGGGGATGAGGGTCAGCTCGACGTAGCCGTTTCTTGAGAGAGCCGTTGAAGGTATTAGAGATTAGAATATTGGAATTAGGGGTTAGAACTAGGAAGGTAAGGATTAGTCATGGGTACATGTATATGAAGCGCGCCTTACGTAGAGTACTCCAAATTGTGGCATATGCTTAGTACATGCTCAAATTCTATTCTCGATAAGGTCGATATGCGTATGCGAAGTGTATCCGTAGTATACCCATAACAAGTCGCATATACCCAAGATATTTCTAACCCCCACCGAACACTTTTCTACCCCTGCCGAGCTGTAAGCCTGTCCATAGCTGAGATGTACGTCGCGTAACATGGATAAATCGGACAGGTGAGACCTCTTACATGTAGACTGACCTCAGAAACGGTGCTTACCAATTGACGCAGTCACGCGTGTCGCTGCTTGCATTATAAATTAACTGTAATGATGCAATCGTAGTAACACCGGATAGCCTTGGTAAAGTCCTTACTCACGTGATCCTATAAATCCTCGTTCCCTACATTACCGTGCACCCTCGTCAGCTTTGAAACCGACCACGCGATATTGTCGTTATACACAAAATGCATCCGAACTTACATCATTCTTAGCATCGACTGCAAGGACACAAACTTCCCTCAGTGCTTCATCGTCCCGTCGACCGTCCTTATGAACTCTGCTAGGCATCCTAAGAGCTCTTTAGACCTGTCTCGGCTGAGCACAGTCATCACTCTTTTGCCTTTCGCCAGGTAGAGCTTGTTCGGCTGCTGGAACCTTTCAAATGCTTCCTTCTGCTCCTCCGGAGGTGATATATTTAATCTGAGTCTGGAGTAATCATCATGACAGGCGTAACGTCGACCATCTGGAGCAGCTCCGTGGGATGCCACATTGCCAGCTTGTGATGTATCAGCAGCGTGATGCGATTGCGAAAGTTTGGCGCGCCTCGGTCGATGACTGCGTTCATGGAACCATACGCTTCAGCTCTTCCTGACCCTCCCGAGCCGGGCATCCCAAAAGGGGTTTCTCCCTTGCTGTTGAATGGTGGCAGTATGAACGCTTCGTTACCTCGCAGTTGAATTGCCTTTGGTGCAGGGTGATGAGTCTTGACGTCTGACGGACCTCAACTTGAGAGATTACTGGCCTTCTATCTCTCAGCTTGAAAAGTTGTTCCTTGGTCAAGTACTACTCATGGCAGAAGACGACACAACCTGTGGTCCAAATGCCATTGTTGTTACTGGTAGCCGGATAAAGCCTGTCGAAGATACATCGCTTGATAAAGCAGCCAAGCGATGTTACCGTCTTCGCACGAGTACGGCGAGCCATCAGCTGAGCAACAGTAGAAATCTGTCGTGTAAATGCATTGAAACATACCACTGGCGGACTTATTTGGTGCTGCCGCCGCGACATTGTCAGTCAATAGCACCCACATACACCAGAAGTACGCACCCAAGCAGAACTGCGGACAAGCGGGTGATCTGAACGACTGGTCGGTACAGCTACCTCGAGGGTACGAATTGCCAGAGGTAGAATAAGAGCTGTGGTTACAATAGGAGACTTTGTCTGACAGGCAGAGGATGCCTTGACTGCCGCAACAGAAGCTTCCCTGGGTGCCATTGACAATGCATGGTTGGTCGGATGCCATGTATATACTATCAGGATAATAACACGAAGTAAAAGCTTGACTAAGTGCCACCACTAAGAGGAGACGGTAGAGGGTGAGAACTGTTATGATGGGACGGCAGAATTTCCAAGAAAGGTTTCGCGTGATGCTGAGTTTGGTGCCTAAAGATGATGGTCGACACAGGTCAGGTTATGGCTACCATCAGCCAGTGATTTGGCTTGCACACGGGTCTTCAGTCTCGCAGACCCCTGGCACTTTCAAGATAGTATGCGGTACATTGCACAAGCAAACAGAACGCAGCGAGATTTTCGCAATTTACTTTGCCGTATCTTCGCCATAGCTTCGCCCCACCATGACCCATATCGGTGACGCGCACCCTTGTTAAGAAGATGTCGGACGTTTCCAGGTTCAAGATCGAGAGCAGAGTCTATTGTAAGCCCTATCAATTTGCAGGATTATAGATCTCCTTTATGGTCCGCATTGGTATAAGAAGTGTAAACTCAGCCTCCAAATTACACAATATCATGGATGACAACGCAATGGTTCGGCTCTTAAAGTCAATCAATGGAATCATGCCACTGTACGCAGTAGGGAGCAATCATTGACAGAATGGTCGCAGCGAAGGGAAACCTGCAACGTGCGATCGTACGACTCCTCGTGGCAATTACAATATCATCTTTGATGGATGTCACATCAAGTTGAAGCGCAACATTCTCATAGGTGTGTTCAGTCCTCTGAAGGATTCTGCACACATGAGCATTGCCCCAAAGCTGTACGCACACATGTCACAGTCGATGCTCTGCATTCGAGCGAATATATGTTCTGAGCAACCAATACAGGACAGAAATGATTCGTGAATGATGGGGCGCGATCTGGAGATTAACACGCTGAAGCATATCCGAGAAGGTATGAAGATCTAGCCAAGGAGGGGAAATCTAGATGAGCTCTATCTGCCAGTTGTGATTTCATTGAAGTCTTCAAGAGCTGGTGAGTCGCTGAATGTTCATCATCGTTCATCGCTGGTCAACTAGCTTAGTCGCTAAAGCGGCTACACCCGTAAGGGCCAAGCCTTTGTAAGCTTGTGTGTTCAACACCGCGAAGCCTCCATTTCACGTCCACTCTTTGAAACATTTTTGTTTCTTCCTGTGCAATTTTTCTTCTTCTTAGACTGACCATGGCCGACTATTTGAAAAGTCTCTTTGCAGCCCAGAAACCTCCACCGCCCGCAAACGAAGACGGTATGCTCTAACCAGCCAAATTTCCTCTATCAACAAGAACATCTCTGACATTTCACAGACTTCGCAGACTTTGCCAGAGTCCCAGATCCTTCCCCTGCTTCCATCTCGCCTGTCACTCCGCAACCAGCAGCTGCAGCAGGAGCCTCACCTACCGGCGCAACAGATGTCGTCTTCACCAAATGGTACCGTGTCTGGGAACGAACGAGCCCCTCAGATTTCTACGCTGAGGCTGTCATTCTACCCTTCGTCATCGTGATCATAGGGCTGCATATATGGGGTCGCCGGACAAACAAGCGAAAAGCAAAAGCGTGGATCGCAGCTCATGCGCCAGCGCTCGAAAAGGAATATGCTTCCGTTGGGTTTGGAGGGAGGAGAGCTCCAACAGTGGACGATGTACAATCGTCCGGCTTAGCCAAATCATTGACATCGGACGACCTGGTTATTCCGCAAGAGTTGTTGAAAGAGAAGACAGCGCAGGAGTACGTGACGTATGCGACTGGGCGACAGAATGTCGCTTTCACGGACATCAACGTCAAGCTGTTCAAGAGGTACAATCCAGCGACTCTCATCATGGAATTCATCCTCGGCTTCCTGTTCGAATCTTTCGCTACACCTGCGGAGAGGATGGAGGCCACTTCCTACGCTTTCGACGGTCGAGAAAAGGATCTTGTGCCTGCTCAGAATCAACAGCAGTTGGAAGCGATTGAGGCGCAGGCGAAGAGCAAGAGCTCCATCTACGATCAATTCGTCTTTGCCGTGGTCCACAAAGACTTGATGCGAAAGATCCGGGACGATCGCTACGACATCTCTCTTACAAGCACGAAAGATCATGCTAAACTGCCAGTTTGGGCTACTACCATGAGCGAGAGCGCAGAGGTCACAGAGAAGCTTCTTACCGCTGACCTGGTCAAGGCGGTCGCAAGTGCCGGCGAAGCTTTTGAGTATCTGGTGGTGACCGATCAGCCACTGGACAAACCATCGAAGTAAGCCGCTTTTGAGACACTGCGTTCCTACGGCCAACCTAACATTCTCCAGACTCAATGACACTAACCCCCGCAAACGCCTGTCCCTCTCCCTCCGCATCCCTTCTCCCTCCCAAGCTTCAGCCTACGACCCTACACTCCCCATCTTCAGCTACTTCCTGCGCTTACCCGACCTCCTTGCGCAAAACGCACATTTTCGTCCCGAAGTCAGCCGCAAGATCCGTTCCGTGCGCGAGGATGAACAGAAGAAGTTGAGAAAGCTGAGTGACGAGGAGAAAGCGGAGGAAAGGAGACTCGAGGGTGAGAAGAAGAAAAAAGAGATGAGGGATAATAAGTTGAAAGGCATGAGCGCGGAGGACCAGAGGGATTTCCTGGAAAAGGAGAGGAAGAGGAGTGGGAAGAAGCAGGAGAAGAAGATGAGTAGGAAGGCCTAAACTGGTGATGATGCTTGTGGAGGATAGGACAAGCGCTGTATTTGGTTGAATACGAGGGCTGTAGATATGCATGCTGTTGGAAATTGGGGCTGTATCATATGGACGGAACGACGTACATTATATCGTAGCTCGTCCCTAGGAGAACTGCTACTGCTCGTCTAATTGACTCGATGTCCCCACTTGTAAGAACTATGGTCCATGAACGACAGTGGCACAGCAGTATTGGTTCCAATCGAAATGTAGAAAGCTAATGCAAAAAGCTATGATGCGTTCAGAATCTACCTCTGAATGTAGACTTATTCTGAGCAAGAATCTTCGGATGAATGTCTGTCTCTACTGCCTTCCTCGACTAATACCATATGTACAAATCCAGCAGCACCGCACGACACCATCACATATCTCGCGGGTCCTTCAATTCTTGCCAAACCACGTCTTGTGTCCCTACGCAGTGCGTTAGTATCCGCCGTACAAAGACGCCCGACGGATCAAGACTCCGAGAGAGGTTGAGGAAGGAAAGCGACGCAGAAGAATCCGTACCAGTACCATGCGACCCATCATGTACATCGTTCCTGGACCGCATCATCAGCAACGCTCCCACAGTCTTGCAAGGTAGCAGCAATGCACGAACCGCCAAGGGTCCCCCACAGCGCGACGAAGTATGGGTAGAGCATGTACTTGCTCCTGGGCGTCTGTCGGGAGCATACAGTCAGCGACTCCGTGTCTCAATTATACCAGCGCCCTGCCGCGTGACATCCCTTTTTTTGCGCATGTGCTCGAGCTCCGCTCTTTGCCTGTTTCTGTGTCTGATCCCCGACTCTCATGTTTTGTAGGGAGGTAGGCGGGGGAGCTGCTGGAGCACTGACCTTCCACCATTGCCGCAGGCCGTCGTTCTTCTGGAAAAGTCGTTGGTAATGGGGCACGCGATTCTCACGGTTGACGAAGCTGTGGGCGCATCGGTCAGCCGTTGGCACTGGTTGCTGCTGGGCGATGTGCGGAGTGTGAGAGGGAGGCTTGCGATGGGTTTGCCGGCTCGAGAGGAGGGAGGGGGTGGGGCGGATCTTGTGACTTACCCTGCCATAGCTGGGACGTGCTTCGGGGTCTCTGGATGATGCGTAGACGTGGGGTTTGGGTTACGTGCCGGTATGAGATGCGATTGGGAAGCTGTCGGTGATCCTTTGATACATATGGCTGAGAAGGCTTGGCACGGGCGTGGCCGCTTTAGCGAGTGGGAGCCCTAACCCTACTCGCGGAAGCAGCCCTATACAATTACTGGGGGACCTTAGAACATGGCAGCTAATCAATAGAACTTTAGGGACCGTTTTGGGCGCGATAGGGGCCTGAAGGCCCAAACTAAGCGGAGGCTAGGTGCAACTCCGAAGCATACTTGTACCTATCTAAGCGCGATGTCTACTTAGGCAACCAGCGTTATCCGAGATTCACGCGCAGAGATCTTGGCAGTTTTGGTGCACCCTTTTAATTTGCAGTAGCTACGAGTACAACGTAGTACGCTCCTACATATGATCCATGAGCGGGCCTTCAAAATGGCCAATACTGTACGTATGAAAAGGTACCTGCGGGCATGCCGTCGATGACGCACGGGGAGATTCTTTATGTAGGGGGCATCCCCCCTATCCTTCAGTACCGATACATTTTTCGCATTAGTGTGCGTGCTCCTCTGAAGTGTCCGTTCTTACTATTCAGACCCTCGGAAAATGGTATAGGTCGATCTCATTGAACGCAAAGCAAAAAACGACTTATATCGCCATACCTTACTGAGTATACACCGCAAACCGATACTCTTCACGCTCGAGATCCGGTCCGAAGAGCGTGAGGACGATGGCGTCCGCCAAAGTCCGCTGCGCAAGGAAATCGTAGTGAATGGATTTCTTCTCCTTGGGAGTTCCTTTTTCCACAATTTCCTTAGATGTGCTGATGAACAGAGTATTCTATGGCCGTTAGCTGAGCATGCTTGCAAAAGTATGAGAGTGAAAGAGAGGTAGCAGAGGAAAGGCAAAGACCGTACCCCAAATGATATCTCAAGCGTGTACCCAACCCACCAGTCAATCGCCCTATTTGCGATACCCTTTGTCAAAGAGCCAAACATTTAGCTACCAAACCTTCCACCCACTCGATCCTCCTCGCGGCCCAGCCAGTCACAGAGACGAGTGACGAGCTGAGCCGGTGTTCGAGACAACGTCTTTCGAACCGACTGTCTCGGCAGACCTCCTATTCCTCCTTCGAGAGACATACGATAACGCCGGAAGAGCGTTCCAAAAGCAGTGCGTATGTTGCAAGCCTCGAAAGAAAGAGTTCTTAAAGTCGCCTTCGTGCCCCTCTGCAAGCACATCACACCGAACAACTTTGCTCGAATCTGCTCTTCTAATCATAATTACAACAGATCAAACCCTCGACAAATCGAATCCAAAGTCGATACAATGGCCGACAACACCCGCAGCCTGACTATCAAGAATGCGGGCCCCAATATCTCTGCCTTTTTCAACAGCAAGTACAACCTACAGGTCGCCAAGAGCCTTATCACCAACAATCAATGTATAAGCTCCTCGCCCCTGGCCAGATCTGAGCAGGAATAAAATGGCTAACGCGCATCGACAGTGACCTACAACATGGTTTGGCAATCCCACGTCCTGGCCCTGAACATGAATGTCGAATGGAAGCCCGTCTACGGCCTTGATTGGACTACAGTATGCCCTCCCGCTCTTCTGCCACTGTACCCCCTAATCGTACCTTGCGCGCAGGAAGTCCCCGTTCCCGACCTTACCGTCACCCTTGCGGCGAGTGGAAGCAGTGCGACCAGGGCCAGGTCCTCGACCTCGACGCCATGGGCATGTGGGAACAGTCTACCGCCATTCCCAAACTCCGCTACCTCAAAGTCGGCAAGAACAAAGCCCAGACCGATACCGGCACTAACAGTGTCCAATTCATGGTCGGCGTCCAGGAGGCAAGGTACGGGTTCAGCCCGATCTTTGTGGACCCGGCGGAGACGGGTAAAGGTATGACGGCACTGTACCAGCCGCAGGAAAAAGTACAGTGGTGGTATTAGTCGGGGATGCATACCTCGACCATCATCGGTGAGAACGTCGGGCCCGTGGAGACGGGAGATTTCACCCCGCCGGATGCCATGAGTGGAACGAACTCAAAGACGAGCTCGTACATTTTTCAGGCGGGGCAGTGGACTACCACTTCGCCCTAGATCGGCTGACTCAAGGTCGACTAATCGAATGAGATGAATGGTGGCAATGGCAAGGGGTACAGGGAAATATGAGACGCAGGTCTAGGTACGTTTTGATTACAAGCTGTTACTAATGCACTGAGTACGGGCGAATATATCGGTAACCAAAACCGGTGTCTTAAATGTCGCTTGCCCTGTTTTGTCTGCCTAAATTTCATCCCTGCCCCCACCCTTCCCGGGGTCCTAAGTACACCATGACCCGGGTAGAAGAGACCCCGAGAATATCTCCCACAGGGACCCGGCTGGATAGGGTCTACCGAATACCGTTCTGGGTGAATTCGAAAACTGCTCGACAACCATTCGGAACGCTTGTTGTTCTCACTGAGACAGTGAAGCCTTATCATATAGTGATGAAACAATGAGTGACGAATGAAGTTGATAGGAATAAACCCTTACCGTGGTTGTAGGTTTCGAGCCAACGAGAGATACCTTCCTAAAAATCCAACCCGCTTTGTCACCTCGGCTGGCCATACGCTTGCCCGAAAGGCTGTTAACCTGGTGTGAAAGCCTTGGTCACAGGACTTTGAGTTGATGGTGAGATACTTTATCATCGATTTCTTTGTCATCGTTGTCAAAAGTTATCAATAATCATTTCCGTCGCATGTTATATACGTAGATATCTCCGTCCCACGAAGAGCTCAACCAATAGAAGTAACCTGATCAGGACAGTTCCCGTTGGCATCGAGAGCCGGATGCGCGGCGCCTCCACAGGCAGGGTTGCACGAACAGGTAGCCGGTTCGCTAGCTCCATGCTGCAAAGCCTGTCCAGCACCAGACAGAGTCGGTCTCGCATTTTCTTCCAGGTAACGTTTCTTCAAAGGATGGCCTTACATTTTGGTGCACTGGGGGACACAGGAAGCGTGAGAGTGCTGTTTGTCCCGAGCGGGCATGCTGTGGTATGATAAAAAGCTGATCAGGGGTGGAATGAAAAGAATTGTTATACCAGAGTGGTCGTCTTCCTTTCGATCGGATTCGACAAATGCAATATCCAATTCTCCAATCTGCTCCCGGGTAAAGCCCATCAAGGAGTTGAGGCGGTCTCTCTCGGGTTTTGAAGTATTCGATGTCGGTTCTGCCCGAAATGTACCGAGACGGTCTTTCACGTACTGAGGATCCACGCTGACGATTGTTTGCGTGCCGGGCAGCTGCCGTCGAAAGAGTTCACACGTCAATTCCCAAAACAGCCATGCCTAAAGGAACAAAGGCCTAAGCTCAGTCCGCAGCGCAGCGATGTCGTATTCGGTGCCTATGACCTGGGGATCCTCTCACCTGCAGACTTGCCAAATTTTTGGAGTTGCAAGGGGAAGAAGATCAATACTTGTAGTGCTAAGAGCTGGGAGATCATCGGCAAGGGCGTCGTAAGGCGGAATTGGTGGACGTCTATCTGTGGTGCTAGTTGACGTGGTTTGGCAATTGTCGGTAATGGGAAGAAGCGGTATAGAGTCTGTTCTTCCTTGAAGTATTATTTTGTCGACTTTGGGCGAAGGACTAGGGGATTGGTTAGTGCATCTGACTTGACGTAGGCAGCCGTTGTTGTTGAGCATGACGTGGGAAGTAATAAAGCAGCAGGCATAGTGGACTAATACTAGGTGGGAAGGTGGAACTGGGACTATGAAGAGAAAGAAAGAGGATCGGCTGGCAATTCCATGCTGTACCCTCGACATAATTCACCGCTAGGTGAATGCAACAGGCGATGTTGTGTTTTGGTAGTATCGTAAGCAGACAGAGAGTAATAAGCTGACGCCTAGCTTGTCTGTCCTTCGGTCTCAGTCCTCGGTAAGTCGATTTTTAGGGAGATATATCTGCCTGGGTGCTCGAACGCTGAAAGAAAGCATCATATGCTCTGACTAGCCTCATGAAGCCTGGGTTATCTCTGATGATGCTGTACTGATCCGCGTGGCGATTTTTGATCTGTCGAAGGTCGGATAGGATAAAATCCGGAGAGCTGCACTCGAGATGGAGTGAAGTCTAGCCGTGGTCATCGACTTGATCTACTGAATGTATGTTGCCGCGGATGAGAATTGACCATGCTGAGATCAAGACAGCAATTTGGAGCAAGGTCCAGTCACCGTTCGATGCATTCAAGTCTGACAGCTTCTTGTACGTATTCGGCATTGAGATCATCTTCAGTCGAAGTTTCCAGTGCATTACCCATTACTTCTTAACACTAGAATCATGCTCAGCCCCCTCTAACATGCATCAAGAATATCCCGGCCCTACGTTTGCCGGTCGATCAAAAAAGACAGACTTCGCTTTTTCGTTATCATCATTGTTTCAACGCCACAACCCTAAATGCAATTCCACTGTGGTTCGCCCCTTCTCTGTTCTCCACCTGCATTCTCCATTGTCCGCCTCCATCTCCTCCCTTTTCCTGTCTCCCTCTCGCTTCAAACCCCTCCCCCGTGAATCTGCTCTCCCATCACAACGCAAGACAAGAGCCTGAAACCTGCGTCTGTGGCGGTCCTACATCTACCGTATCCGCACCGACGACCGTTGTCGTGCTACCGTCAATACCGAACAATGTGCAGCTCGCACCACCTGCAGAGCTAATGTGGGAGACGCTCAATACGTTGGCTTTGGTGGTACAAGTCAGTGATACACATATTTCATGGAAAGTTCCCTAGACAATGGGACAGGTACGAGGAGAGTAGATGGTACATCAAACAGTGGGGTAAAGAAGAATTGGCTAGAACTTGGGGCTGGCAACATACAAATCTCGAAAACAGAACCATCTGTGGGGACCGACAGTGTGAAGAATGCCGCTGCGGGAGGAGCGCCTTGGAAAGTGAGCTGGGCTTGGAACTGGCGGGCACTGGAGCTGGGGGCGGCGTGGAGTTGGGAGGCGAGGAGGAAGAGGAAGGTAGAGATGGTGAAGGCTTTCATTGTGGATGCTTGACTGATTGATGGATGGGAGAGATGAAGTCTTTTCTTTATTGAAAGGCTGGAGTCTGTGCAAGGAGTGCAAGGTGGGTGAGCAGAAAATCGGATCAGGTGGGATGAATGTACCCTCTATATATACGTATAACAGTCAGAACTAGATGCAAGTCTGCCACTACTTCCCCTCCTATACGATCCAAAGTGTCATGTGCCCAGCTCGGTCTCAGTAGCAGATCTCACGGTCAACGCCATCTAACACGATATGGGCGTCTTCAACACTCTGCCAAGGCTCGGCCGTCTGACATGCATAGCTTTCGGCACCTTCTTGATTCGCGAGAGGATCCACGTGAGTTACCTGTATGGTCGATGACTATCCCCACGGTTGAGGATCTGCCTTCCCTAACCCATCACGATTAGGAGAACGCGTCGGGTTGTGGATTGCAGGGGTCAATATTGGTATTGACGTCGCGATGATTTCTTGCGGATGGTAGTGCATCAATGCTATGGGAATTTGGAGCAAGGTTGTCCCTGCATGCGAATATATATGCATGACTTTCATGACTACATAGTGTAAGTACAACTGCTTTTTTCGAGTAGCCTTACAAATGAAGAGAAGATGATGAAGTCCACCGGACGTCCTCGCCTAAGTTGCCCCCATTCGGCACACCGATATCAGCAGCCAAGCAACCCCCCCGGATTAATAAGCCATAGATGTAAGACTGGTGTTCGTACCATTTCTGAGGTCAACATAAGCAGTAGATCGACGGTAAAGACTTTACGAGTACAGCGTGTTCAGCCGAAACGAGCGATACTTCTTTCTACTTCGTATTCGGATTTAGCGAGTTTTTGCAGCAAATAGAAACATATCGAGATACTTTCTACTTTCAGACGTTTGCGATACTGATCATACGATTAAAGACTTTTATAGGAGGGTTAAATTGTTTCTTGATAGATTATAATATAATCGACTCTAAGTCGTCTTTTGACTAGAGAAACCCAATAAAATTCTATTAACTACAATATTGAGATAATATAGTAATACGTTATCAGAAACTTTTAGAACTTTGTAACAGTGTAGATCGGCGCCGTAAAGGTTCTCGCCGCAGGCGCCGTCGGCCACGAGGCGGCGGATGTCTTGGCCGAAACAGCAGCCGAGGTCGAGGAGACGCTGGGGGGTGGAAGAGGCTCTGAGGCGAGCGAGCACGGTCGGGTAGAGGGGGTGGAGGGAGAGTGAGAGGTCGAGGAAGCGGCGGACGCAGGGGCATGGGTGGATTTTTCAGGCTTGGTCGCGTTGATGAGGGGCGAGGAGGAGCAAAGCGTGAATGATCATAATGAGTAGAGGGAGAAGACGGAGCAGGGTAGAAGACTCGGAGGGGAGGGTGAGAGGCAAGGGAGAGAAAGTAAGAAACATTGCGGGCAAACGTACCACGGCGTGAATGTGAGCAACCACCTGCTCCGGAGGTATCTTACTGTACTCCTCCAAGAGCTTCCGCACGGGTGTGATATCTTCCTCAATGTCTTTACTATACCGAGAGATCGGGTCTCGTCGGTCATTTCTAACTTTGATGTCATTGTTCTCTGAAGTTGCCATTATTGATGTTGGGAAGCAAATAACCTATCTTGGATTTTCACGCATACAAGTAAAGAGAAAGCTTGGTTAGCCTGAGAAGGACTCCTCGATTTGGAGGGTGCAACGGTCGAGATATATGCACAGTGGACGGTCATAGGACAGCTAACTCCTGATTCCGGAACTTCTGATGGATGTCCTTGGTTTCTGAGCCTAATTCTCTCCAACAGCCTGTTCACAGGAGTTACTGCTGACATACTCACAGCATCGGCCTCTCTATAGGTTAATCACCCTCGGATCAACCAAGACTCTCGGCAGGTCCCACCGGTAGCCTCATGCTGCGCCCGTACTGCATCCTGATCTCATACGGGATCGGCAGCTCATTCGCCGAGTACTTTTCGTTCTTCTCGATCCTCATTCCATGATTCCATTCACAATCACCTTCTTTATATGCTTTTCTTTTCCCTCAATCGCTGTACTAGCTGACGGCCGGATCTGTCAAATACTACCAAACATTGTACCTAGAAATTGATTGCGTTTATAACTGTACAGATTCAAGGCGACCTTAGCGGCTTTAGGGTTGAGTTGAGGAGTAGTAGTACGGAGGTCTACACCGAAAGTCCTGGACAGCGCTAGATAGCCCTACTCCTACTCCCGGAAGGCGGCCCTATGGTAGCGGGCCCCAGAACGATCTTCCTGGGAGCGCATGAATTGAGCTTTAGGGACCTTTAGGCGCAATTTCGAGGCAGATGTAGGGCGTTATCCGAGATCTTGGCGTGGGAGTCTTGATGTCCAGGAGTTTTGGTGCAGACCTCGTAGACGCAGCCGACCGTAACGCTAATTGTTCGGCAAGAATCCTTTGAAGTCAGCAAATCTCTACTCACTCAAAATCCTTACTCGCTCAGGTCCCTGGTCGCTCAAATTTCTAGCTTTAATGGGCCTTGGACTCACACCGAATCTATAGCGCGCCAAATGTCGGAAAGCGAGCGAACGTCAGAAGAGGTTGGTCATGGGTGGCCTTCAACACGTTCAGTTGGTATGGGAGACTTGCTGCACCAGTCAGCAATGGAACTGCCCGCGATGAACTCTCGCAACGACTTGATCTCTTTCCTTGCAGTAGCTCAATACTACGATATCGACATCGTATCTCTGACATGGCAGCAAGGTCGGGGCCAGTTAGGGATAGGTGGTACATCGGAGATATGGCAGGCGAATTACAGCAAACGAATGGATTTTGTATTCAAAAGAATGAAATTTGCGGATACGGATGAAGAGAGAGGCTTCAATGCCCTGGTCTCGGAAATCTCGATCCTGAGTCATCCTCTGATCCGACACCACCAGAACATTGTGAAATTGGAGGGAATTGGTTGGGAGATTCCTCAACAAAGTCACAAGGTCTGGCCAGTATTAATCCTAGAGAAGGCTCAATTGGGGGACTTGAGATCTTTCATGTGCTCGGAACAGGGGAGATCGACAACCATGCGTGAAAGACTTGAACTCTGCACTGATGTAGCAAGCGCAATAATAGCCATGCATTCGAATTGTAAGTCTAAGTTCCTTAGCTCTGGTAGAGCGGGAAGGACTCTCGCTCACTGAGTAGATATGAGTCATGGTGATATCAAACCCGAAAATGTGCTTATCCACAAGGATGGCATTGGCGAGTTGCATGCGAAGTTAGCAGATTTCGGCTACGCGGGATGGGCGATAAAGAAAATGGAAGATGTGTTGATCAAGCCGCCTAGATCACGGCCGTGGGACCCTCCCGAATATCACCACCGTGGCTTTACAGTCTTGGGAGCCAGAAAATTGGACGTATATTCGTTCGGCATGCTATGTCTCTGGATTCTCTTCTTCGACAGGCCATTAGATAGCGATTACGTTCCCACAGCAACAAGGAAGACTCAGTTATGCACGTTTCATGATCCGAAGTTGCTAGACAGCATGAAGCACGAAGATACTCTAGGAGATTTCGCTGGCGGTCTTGTCAGATCAGTGGCAAGCTTGCCTGCCAAGCAGAAGGGAAACCTAGAACGGTTTTTCTTGTCAGCTCTTGCACGTGACCCTGCTAAGAGGACTATGAAATTTGAGGACTTGGCGTCGCTTTTGGGTCCTGGCTGGTATGGTCTTGGTGACTGACGAAGTTTGCTGCTTGGGAGTCCCTCTAATATTCAACAGGCAGCCCGGTCCGGCAACATTGGATACGGACCAGATGGAAATTGATCATTCTAGTATCAAGTTCGAAGTACGTGTCCTTCAAGACAAAACTTTCCTTCGCTAAGCGTTTGTAGATTGCCAAAACCTTTTACTCCTTGATGAGAGCACATCCTCGTGTGCGAAGTCACATTTTTGAGTGCATTCATAACCAAGCCCAAGGCGGTCTTTTCGAGAAACATCGCCTCAATGCGGCTTTTCAGCTTGCATTCTGCTACAAGACGGGGTTCGGAACACCGTCAAACGATGAGTTGTCTCAGATTTGGGCGAAGCGAGCTCAACGTTGTGCCCAAGACCTCGATGAGCAAGTGGAACTGGCGAAGGGAACAATGAACAGAGGAAATTACCGCAATGGCGATTTTCAATCCCTTGCATACAGCGGTCTGTTATCGGAAGCGAGTTCTATCATCAGGCCCAAAGACGATGAGCTGACCATAGCCATGGCGGACTGCAAGAGAGAGATACGGGATATGGAACTTGCATTCGGCAAACACAACTGCTCCGTTCTCGAACTAAAGCTCAACCAAGCGTCTAGGATGGAAGCCGCAGGGAAATACAAGGAAGCAGAATCTTTGCGAGTTGGGCTGCTACAAGATCTGAGACATGAGCCGGGTTATCTTCAACTGTCAGTGCACGCTTCTTCGACCAGTGCATGGAGAACACTCGAAGTTGGGCGATGGAGGAACCACGAGGGACCACGCAAACCTCCACTGCAGCTGGAAACATCTGACTCAGAGGAGCCGGCTGTTCTCATCGATATCATGGCATGTCTGAACGATAGGATTCCGGAAACGGCCCAATTATTATTTCATTTGGGTGTCAACTATGCAGGACAGGGACGTTGGCAAGAGGCAAAATGGATCTTCCTACTTTTGACACAGACGAGAATGGAAATATTGGGAGAAAGCCATCCAACCACGCTCGATTTGACTACTTGTCTAGCATCAATGTACAGCCACCTAGGACAATTGTCGGAAGCAGAGAGGATCTACCTGCATATCTCGGATATCTATACCTGGGTCCTTGGCGAGAATCATAGCAATACGCTTTCGACCAAAGCCTTCTTAGCTGGTGTCTATGTAGAGCAAGGCCGTCTGGACAAGGCAGAAACCCTCATTACACAGGTTCATGAAGCACAACAAGAAGTTCTTGGTAAAGAAGACTTCCGCACTTATGATAGCGTGGAAGTTTTGGCTGGCGTTTATCTAAGAAAGGGTCATTACAATGCCAGCGAAGCTTTAAGACGCCAGGTCATTGACTTCTATAAAGGTAGCCTTGGGCCAGATCACCCGGTCACCCTGTTCGCGATGAGCCAGCTCTCCGTAACGTTAGCGAAGCAGGAGTGTTGGCCGGAGGTCAAGAAGATAACGATGCAAGTTTTAGAACGGAGGAAAGAACTCCTCGGTCCCGGGCATCCGCAAACATTGACTAGTATCGATAATCTCGCTGCTGTGCATGCCAGGCAAGGGCTCTTGCGAGAGGCAGAGACAGGATTTCTGGACGTGATAAAAGGCCAGAACAAAATATTCGGTGAGAGTTCCTCACACTCTCTAGATGCAATCCAGAACTTGGCTACTCTTTATGGGATGCAAGGACGTCTAAAAGAGGAGGAGGCCTTGCTCATGAAGCTGATCGAGAGAAGAAAGGACTATTTGGGGGAGGAGCATCCGAGCAGCCTGATATCGACTGAACGTTTGGCTTGGAATCTTTTATGTCAGTCACGTCCAAGAGAAGCCGAACGGTTGTATTTGCGGGCAGTATTTCTTGGGAGAAGGGTGCGAGGGGGAAAACATCCAGATCAACTACTCTCGGAATCCGGCCTAGCAGAAACCTACCTCGAACAGCTTCGATTCAAGGAAGCGGAGAAGATCATCCTACATGTTTTGGAACATATTGATGCTGTGCTTGGTGCGGACCACCCGGAAACGATGGTTGCGCGGGTGCGGCTCGCAAGGATCCTAAACGGACAAAGGCGATGGCGAGAGTCGGACCCCATCTTCTTGGAAGCGGTTGAGCAGAGGAAGAAAGTGATGGGAGATGAACACGAAATGACACTCGGGGTCATGCGCTTCTACGCATGGAGTCTGTGGAGTCAAGGTCGATGGCGGGAGGCCATTCCTGGTCTCTATCGATCATCCAGAGGCGTCTGCGCTGCGCGAGCATTTGCGAGACGTCGAAGCTGGGGCTTAACCCAGGGTCTCCGCGTATCACTGGTCGTTGCCATAACTGCGATTACATACAGATGGAGCAAAAGCTTTCCTGGGTGGGCTTTTGCGTCATGAGTCTCGGACTTTTTGACCTCACCCGGCTGGACGAAAACAGAAGGTGGACAGTATCTTTAGATTCTATGGTATACTACATCTCGTATACACAGATTCACTGCCTTTGGCCTGGCTCCGTCGCCATTCTGGCCAATGCGTACCGACAAACGTGCAGACCGTCAAGCCTACAGTCGTCATCACTTCTCGCAAGCATTTGAACGGGAACTATACTCCAAGTGTGCTCGGTGCGGCGGTGCTCTGTTGCGATTGCAGAGGGAAAACTTGTCCGCAGGCAAAGGGAACGTTCATCCTCCAGCCTTTCAACCCAGCAGCCACAGGAACGTCAGAAATGGCACACCGTCGGATCAAGAAAACTTTCCTCTTGGACCTGCCTCAGCGCGAAAGAGAACGCATCAAAGCCGAGGCCAACGCTGGACTCCAAGTCATCGGTGCAGGCCCACCGAGATCTGGGACCACGTCGCTGAAAGCCGCATTGGATATCCTAGGCTTTGATCCATGCCATCACATGGCGGCAGGTTCCGTTCGTTCATCCATTCATTCAATCCAGTTCGCCCACTTGCAACCAACGACAGCAACGGGCAAACTAATTGATGATCATCATCGTGGAACAGGAACTCTTCGACTACCCATCCGCACAAGACTCTATTCTTCGCCGACCAGCTTAAATCCCAATCCCAAGCGCCATCATTGTCTCCACATTCAGCGCCCACAGCATCCCACCTCGCCATGCGCGCCACCGTCGACTCACCCGGCCGCGACCTCTCGCTACCAAGATCTCACGACGCTTCCACCCCGACGCCAAAGTTTATCCTCTTCGTTCGTGACAGCGATAGCGATAGCAGTTTGTCTAGTGGGAGTTCCTTCCTTTGCCGGCACCATGGGCGTGCAGATGACGAACGAGACGGTCCGCGGGGCTGACGTATCCGACCACCCCCCCCCACCCCTTTTTCTTCGGTACAATGAGAGAGATCCTCTTCCATGTAACCGACCAATCAATCACTGAACGATGAAAGCATGCGTCTTTCCGGGACGGATACCCTTGGACTGGACCGGGGATCCATCGTGCGCATGATGGGGATGGGAGGGAGGACGTGCCGGGTGAGAAGGTGTTGGTCTTTAATAACGTGAAGATGGGGTGGGAGCCGCTCGCTGTGTGGGTTTTTTTGGACGTGCCGGTGCCGGAGCGGCCGTTCGTTTCCGCAGATGTCGGCGATCTATTCCCCCCTCCCCACATCAAGCCTCGTTTGGGAGCTTCTACTGAAAATGATCGGTGCATTGTATGTAGGAATGATGCGAAGATGATCGCCGGACTTTTACTGGGTACGGGGCCTTGCGTCTGGCTCCTTTACATGGGGTTGGCGGTCTGTGGTCAGTTGGCGGTCCTTTTGCCCCAGTTGGCCGCACGATTCCCTGAACCTTTCAGGGCCTCTTGCTCGGATCGGGCCCAACGAAAGGCTCTAGGGTTCCATCTGGAGTATGCGCTCCCGGTCGATAGATGGATAGATCAATGTGTGCGTACGGCCGAGGGTTCATGATCTCCGGCAAATCACGGCCAGGGGGCGTTCCGGGTCCAACGGCAAGAGTACGTATGGAAGTCGAGGACAGGGCTTCATCAGTGCACGAGACGTGCTCGAAAGAGGTTGGGCTGAAACCAAAAGGGCACAGCTATTGCCAACGATCTTTCCGACGTTTTGACTGCTGTCTAGCTATCTCTCAGCCAAAGACTATTACATCAGCTCCTAATCGTACATGAATAAGCAGAGAGGGTATCCAACGCCAACGCCCATTGCCGTGATCAGCGCTCCTCATGCTCATCCAAAATGCCCATTCATCATGCCTCGTGGAACATGCCTAGCCTAAGACCCGTAAGCGGGCGGCGGCTCCTCCTGTGCCTCGTTATTTCGATCCCAAAATCCACTGTTCGCCGCCTTCTGATCTTGCACTTTGCGAGCAATCTCACCCGCCATCTTGGTCAACCAGGGCTGTGGCACCATACCACCTGAAGAAGACTCATCGATGGGTGAAGGAGATAATTGTTGGAGAGTTGCCGTTGAGGATGACGAAGCTTCTGGCTTTGGTCCTTTCTCGACAGGGTATCGAGTAGTTTGTAAAGGATCTGGCGGTCGTAACGAAGGCCGCTTGGCGGTTCGAGAACCAGACTGTGTTAGCGAATGTGGCGAGGGCACCTTGTATTGGGGTTGCCTGGGTGTGTTTTCTGAAACATCAGCTCGTTGAGGCTGACGAGGCGTGAAATTCCTGAACCGTAGAGGCGTGCCATCGCCTGGCTCTTTTTGTGCCGCTGTGTTTTCTGGCGTCCTAGGAGGAGTGACAAGCTCCCCGTCACATCGCTCTGGTGTGACAGGACGAGCGCCAGATTCTGACGGTGCTGAAGACATGGTCCCAGACGCTGTGGTACTCTCGCCGCTCACACTCTCCACATCGTTTCCATCCGTTGCTTTCTTCCTTAGATTGACGACCCGACGCTTTCGCTTCCGCCCTCCGTGGGTCTTTCCGTGCTTGTTTGATCCGAGACCTAAGCCTGAAGCTGCCGATCCAAAGGACGACAATCCCGGTCTGGACGGATGATGCCCAGTGTCACCGGCTTCCGAAAACACGTATGTTGTACTAGCATTGCCCGTGTAGGATTGGCTGCGTGCCATGACCGGCGTCATAGGCGTCGCTCGTCCACTGCTTCCATGCATTTCTCCTCTTTCCGTAGGCCCCGCCCAAGCCCTGAAGACAACGTCCCTAATGCCAGGTGTGAAAAGTGACAAAGTCCTGTGCGAATCCGTCAAAGCACTCAGGCGCAGAAGATTCTTTTGTGAGAAGAGAGCGTGCATTTCGGGGCCTGAATCCAGAGATAGAGAAGCTATCTGCGATGCATCCAAAATATTCCCACAACTGTCCACTGGATCTTGAGGAGGACTTGCTAATGGATCCATTGGCTTCTCTCCGGTTGCGGAGTCTTGGAGATTCCGCGCTAGCTCCTCGTCTTCTCGTTCTCGATATTCTGGGACCCAGAGTCGTAAAGACAGACGATGGATTATCACAGGAACCTCATCCATGAGAAGCGTCCGCAACTGGCCTTCAATCTCTTTTTGCAGATAGTCTCTGACAAAGGGTATTGCGTCGAAGGTAGAAGACACCTTGAGCGACTCCAGCGGGTCATTTCGAAAGACGAGCGTGAGACCTTTCTGCCTTGAAAACACCAGTATGATAAATGCGGATAGCTTGATTTCGGATAGTGTAATTTGTAGAGGGATCGTGAGGCCAGAGGAGGCAGCGAGAGGTTGTGGGGAGGTGAAGGAAGGTTTTGTAGATAGATAGGTATTCAAAGGATTTGCCTAGCGACAATCAGCAGCGTTCAAGAGATCGCTCATCTCTGTTACGTACCTGGACTCTGGTTTTCAGTGTAAGATATGCATCTCCAGTGTAGCACATCTTAAAGATGCCCCGAAATCGATCCTCCGCCAGGTCTCCAATTTCGAGGATCTCAAGATCTGGAGGCACGGAGCCCAGGTTGAGCTCATTGACTAGGATGTCGTCGACGATGATGGGGGGCTTCGGGGACTTGTTCAAAGCAGTCGTGAGAAGCTCTTGTGCCCTAGTGTAGAAAGAGGCATCGGCTGTCAAAGGCGACCAGTTGAAGTTGAAGGCCATGTTGGAGGAAGATGGAACCAGAGAGGTCGATGAATTAGGACAGACTCTGCTGGTCGTGTAAGCGATGACGCTGTCGCTGGTTCGGATTTCAATGTCTCGTGCTCAAGTCAATCCTCCGTGTGATGAGGACCCAGATGAGGCTGCTCCGGCGATTGACTTCGCGACTGCGACAGACGAAGGTAGCTCTAGAGAAGTCATACCATGGTGTGCCAGGATTCAAGAGGTATGTCAAGAGGGAATTCCAGAGTACCTAGGTAGGATACGAGTACTCTACTACTGAAGATGAACTTTTGGAGAATTCGCGTTCTTTGACTCCAGTATTCTAGCTGGTGGTAACCCTAACCCTAAGTTCCGCCTTGGGACCCGGTCTGTTATCCACGACTAACTACCTACATGTAACGAGCCATACAGGACCTGCAACTTACGACCGGTCATCTTTACGGATATAATAGAAAGCTGAGTGAATGCGAAAGTCGGTACACCAGAGGCAATGCGATAGTGGGATTGGTGGATATCAATTCTATCATTTTTGTACACCTGTGCACACATCTAAAATCGCAAAGCAAGAAGTATTCGCCCTCGCGCATTGTACATACAGCTGGTACCTGTCAATATTCGATTCTTTGATGAGCGACAGCAGTTGGGGAAGTCTGGCGCCTATAGCTCATCGTGCCCGGCATCTTCATCCTCATCTTCCCCACCCATAGGGGGCATGTCACCGCCCATGCCGGCGTACAATTTGCTTGTGATAGGGTATGCCACATTGCTGAGCTTCTCCTTCTGCTCCTCAAAGTCCTCAGTTGTGGCGTCTTGGGCGTTCGACTCTAACCAATCTGCGGTCTCCTTGACGGCTTCCAAAAGAGTCTCCTTGTCGTCTTCGTCGATTTTGCCACCAAGACCCTCGTCGTCGTTGGCCTGGTTCTTGAGGCTGAACACGTAGTTCTCAAGACCGTTGCGCGCTTGAATGCGTTCCGATGTAGCCTTATCTTCTTCAGCAAATTCTTGGGCCTCAGCGATCATGCGGTCAATCTCTTCTTGCGAGAGGCGGCCTTTGTCGTTTGTGATAGTGATACTCTGGGATTTACCTGTGCCCTTGTCGCCAGCAGACACCTTTAAGATTCCGTTGGCGTCAAGTTCGAAGGAAACCTCGATCTGAGGAACGCCACGAGGGGCTGGTGGAATGCCTGTGAGGTCGAATTTGCCGAGAAGGTTGTTGTCTTTTGTCATGGAACGTTCGCCCTCGAAAACTTGGATCAAGACAACAGGCTGGTTGTCGGCCGCCGTGGAGAAGATCTGAGACTTGCGTGTCGGAATGGAGGTGCCTCGTGGAATCAACTTTGTCCTAAAGAAGCGGGAGTCAGCATTGCTTTGTTGAGATGGGACTGCTAGTTTTGTCGCTCACATGACACCACCGGTCGTTTCAATACCGAGAGTCAATGGGTTCACGTCCATGAGGATGATCTCAGTCGTACCCTCGGCTCCGGAGAGAACACCGCCCTGAACAGCGGCGCCGAAAGCTACAGCCTCATCTGGGTTTATGCCTTTGCTGAGTGGCTTTCCGAAGAATTCCTCCAACATAGCCTGGACCCTTTTTGCAAAGTCAGTATTGCCTACCCACAGTAGCAAGGATGAGAGTTGGACTCCGTAAAAACGTACTTAGGAATACGAGTAGACCCTCCGACAAGAACGATATCGTTGATCTCGTTCTTCTTGACCTTTGCGTCCTTCAGGACTTGTTCGACGGGCTTCAGGGTCTTCTTGAAGAGGTCCATGTTCAATTCTGAGGTCTCCGAGTCAGTACTGCATAATTCACGGGCCGAATCGTAACAAACCCTCGAATTTAGCCCTCGTCAAAGTTTCTGAGAAGTCCTCTCCCTTGAAGAAGCTCTCGATCTCCAATCTGGTGGACATTTGACTAGAAAGAGTACGCTAATAGAGGTCCCCGAGTCAGCATGCCTCGTTCAAGATTTTTAGAGCCTCAGATATGTGCAGAGTCGACATTCCCAAGGATGGCTTGAAGATTCTGAAGGCTGGAGAATGCGTACCTTGGCTTTCTCCACTTCGCGCTTTAGCTTTCCCATCGTCTTCAGATCTTTGGTGATGTCCACGCTGTCAAAGAGTTCGGTGTCAGCATTGCTCGATCAAGACTGGAGTTGAGCCTCGAAAAAGATGCATAGAGTAAAGATTCCCAATATCTATCTCGAGGCTCCGATTTTTGGTTTACAAAAAGGCAAGGATGGACTCAGGATCCACGTACCTCTTGTCCTTGTTGTATCTCTTGGTGAAGTAGTTGATGATTCTCTGGTCTGCACGAGGGTGAGCATGTTATCTTCGCCATTGGCGCAGGCCTAGCTGGTAGCTACTTACCAAAATCTTCCCCTCCGAGATGGGTGTCTCCAGCTGTTGCTTGGACTTCGAACACGCCATTGTCAATGGTCAAGAGAGAGACATCAAAGGTCCCTCCTCCAAGATCGTAGACAATGATTTGACGTTCGTCACCAGTGCGGTCAAGACCGTACGCGATAGCGGCGGCGGTTGGCTCGTTCACGACCCGAACGACGTTCAAGCCGGCGATGGTGCCGGCATCCTTTGTAGCCTGTCTCTGATTGTCGTTGAAGTATGCTGGAACGGTGACAACAGCGTTGACCACCTTTTTTCCGAGGTAGCTCTCTGCGATTTCCTTCATCTTTCCGAGTACCATTGCGGAGACTTCTTCGGGAGAGAACGACCTGTCTTTTCCTTGGACCTCAACGGTGATGGCAGGTTTGTCATTCTGGTTTGTGACTCGGAAGGGGAAGTGCTTAATGTCACTTTGTACGTCTTTGTCCACGAATTTGCGTCCGATCAGTCGCCTGCCGAAGCTGTCAGCTGAAGGTTCTATCGACAAGAAAGCCAGCGTCAATTCGCTTACTTAGAGTCGTATATGGTCCTAACTGGGTTCTGTAATGAAGTTTCACGGTCAGTACTGATTACGGGAGCACGACCTCTCAGGAAACAATGGGCTCCGAAGATACGTACTGCGGCGTACTGATTTTTAGCTGCGTCTCCGACTAGACGTTCCTCGTCGTTGAAGGCCACATAACTCGGTGTTATGCGGTTGCCTTGGTCGTTGACAAGTATCTCCACCTTGCCGTTCAACATGACACCAACACAGCTGGCTTCGTTAGCGAGAGGTTGTACGAGTGATCGCGGAATGCATACGCTGTAAGTTCTCTTGTCAGCGATTCCCTTTTCAAGATCAAAATTTGAGTCGTAAGTCAGTTGCGGCACATTTTTACGTACTCCCGCAGCGTGGCTTCCGACTCATATCAGGGACAGGAACAGGAGAGCTGGGGCAGCTGCTTACAGTATGTGGTCCCCAAATCTATGCCTATGACATCGCCAAGATCCTGCCTCGAGGTCTCAGACCCTAGTGGTTCTTGGTCATCTCCTTGTGCGTTGGCGTGACCTAGTAGTGCGAGCGGACAGATCAAGAGGCAGAGAAGGATGAGGACAGGAGACCATGATGGGCCCGAGCGGTTTGCCCTCGAGTAGCGAGCCATAATGTGAGATGTTATCTGGTCTTAGGATTGTAAGAGGAAGGGTATCGTTGGGCACTGAAGTGCGGCCGTCTCAGGTAGGAGAGAAGGATGCTACCGTTGTATGAGATGGGGAGCGCAATGAGCGAAAAGTATAAGGAGTGTGCATGCGGTAGAGTGTCGTTGACTGAAGTTGTAAAATTTCGTGGTGGTGTGCTCTTTAAGACCACGTAAATGCTGTGAACACGTTTCCATTTGAAAAAAAGTGGATGATGGCCTGGGACGGAAATACATTTATCCGGTCCAAGACTCACTATCATTGGTTGCGCGTTGAGTACGAGTAGAGGTCATTGCCGCTTTAGCCGCGCTGTTTCGGTCTGTTAGACCTACTTTAAGAGGACACATACATACAAGCTAGTGCAGCACAGCTGCGATGCTGGCTGAACAACCTGCCTTTTTGGGGCTCCGTGGTCATATTGCAGGACCTTCTATTTTTAGACCCGCTGACTTGAATAACACGCCGCTAATGACTGTAGTGCTGTCTTATTGAGTGTGCATAAGTCCTAACTCGGTATCCAAGGAATCCATTTGATATGTAGTGACCCCGACACTATGGTGGTCGGCAACTCATCTAGCGAATGCCAATGTACAGAGATGGCATGAAGAGATCTAGTAGGATTGTTCCTTTTAGGGGCCTGTAATATGCTAGGCATTGTCAAAGTACAAATGGAAGGATAGTACAGGCGCAAATCATACAATCCAACGACAGCATCTCACGCAACTCCCACGCAATTTAGTGATTGTGCCTCTCTCTTTCTATGTCCTGGTACCTTGCGCTCCAATCCTCTTCTACTTGTTGCAGCTCTCTCGGAGTCCCATCCTAGCCCTTGAAGATCGGGCAGCAGTCTGGGATACTTGGTGACGCCGACCGAACAAACTCTCAACTTTCGAGATCGAGTCCTGACACCGAGGTAGTCTTGAATCGGGTTTGGTGCCCTTATAGCGGTACGATTCATGGGGTGTAAGCCCATATGAAGTGCTTCGACAAGTGGTATCGTAGCGCATTTCTGACTATAAGACACATAAGGCGCCCTCCGTAGAGGTTTGGGTATGGAACGCCAGAGCCTATGGCGACTGCCCGGAATGTGCCGCGTAGTAGACCTGCATAACACCAGTGATGGATTGAATCAGTCCGAAGACAATGGTCAAGAAAACGACCAGAACCGCAACCCAGAATGTGTACCACTCCACCCTCCTTCGTCTATCACGCCACCACTGTCCCAGGTTCTTGGGCTCCGAAGCATCATACGCCATTTTAATCGTGATCAAACGTTGGCCCCAGAACTTGTACTTTTCCGTTGAGCGGGCCCAGTGCAGCAGCTCGACGTCTCCGGCTCCGTGGTCGATGTTCTCCGCGTATTTTGCGTATTTGTTGTGCACCTTTTCGAACCAAGTTTTGCAGTCTCGATTCGCCCGAGGGATGATGAGAGCGAGCGTTTGGAGGGTCTCTGTGAGCAGCCGATCTGGAAGCGCTTGATTGGGTGACTTAGCCTGGAGAAGACCACGTAGGACATGGACATGGTGGTAGATGCTGATAGTGCCAAGATCTTCGTTCAGGTAGAGGTGGTCAGCCAGATGGTCAGTCCAGACGAGCTCGAATCCTCCGACGCGTTCCAGGTTGTAGGCGTTTAGGGAGAATGGCCATTGTGACAGCCTAGGACCCCATTCAGAAACAGGAAAGCACGAATCAATAAAATTGTCAAGACTTTGGTCTTCCATCCATTCAGGGCTCGATCTTCCGGGAAAGAGAGTGAGGTTGGCCGAAGACCCCACATTCAGCATTAGCCAGAGACGTACAGTCAAGAAGATGGAATTTGTAGCAGAGACTAGATCACAACGCGGGAAGCGATGTCTCAACGACCAGTGTAGCTGCCCAGAAGTACATTCCTCTGTAAGAGATGGCGTTGGCGTTTTCTCATCATCGGCTGCCCGTAAAGGAGGAAAGAAATCAAGGACAGCAGGGGCAGAGCGCTTTTCATTGCGAGTTCGCTTCAAATGTTCGACTAGATCCAAGAAATCTTGGTATGTTTGGATGGCAACGGCGCTGCCACTAAGTCTCCACGCCTCACATTCTTCCCTGAAATACAGAAAGTAGGCCGCAGAATTGTGATGTTGTTGGGTAGACCACAGAGACATTGTAATATGGTCTTCAAGTCTCTTGTCCAAGGCATCGTCTGGATCTTCGGACAAAAGCAACTTATGGAGGTCTGGCTCAGGGCTTGGCGCCGAGATGAATGACATATCTGCTGTCTCCGTTAAACAGAGCTGATCCAAATCTATAATCGACGTTCCTCTGACATGCGTCGAAGTTCGAAGTTCGAGCTAATCGTAAGCCCTGGGGGCTCGGCGGCAGATCGTCCCTTCAAAACAAACCCAAAAAAAGTTTTAGGACTTCGTTTCGCGATTCCTACTAAGCATATTTCTTAACTTTTATAAAGTATATATATTATTCCTTTAACTACTATAGAATTATTATAGAGAGTTATTATTAAGACTTTAGAAATATATTATATAGTCTCTAAACTTAATTAGACTAATTTAGATATTAGTCTATAAAAATTATATAAAATTCTTCTTTAAATAAATTCTTCTTTTTTAATAATAATAATAATATTATATAGATATACTATTATAATATCTTCTTTTTATACTACTTTATATAAAATTACTTCTAACTAACTTTATATATTAATATTACTACTATTATTATTATTACTACTACTACTATTATTAATATAAATATAATATTATAATCTCTCTTAATATCTTAATATCTTTACTTTCTATAGTCTTTTTTAATCTCTCTACTTTATATAAAGTTATTTATATATAATAGCTAGCTAACTTCGTATAATAAAGCTCTTATCTTATAAAATATCGCCGTTACCGTTATTATTCTTACCGCTATCTCGACTAACTAATATTCTTATCTTCTTATAGAATAATAATAGCTTATATTCTTTATTTATAGCTCGATTAATTATATTATTCTAATCTTATTAAAATAGAATATTAATTTTTTTTAAGAGGCGATTTAGTCTTATTAAATTAGATAATATCGATTAAGATATATTAATATTATTCTAATTTAATTACGCGAACTTATTACCTCTATAACTTATTCGTAATATTTATAAACTTCGCGTTCTAATCTTCGCCTCTTTCTTATATACTATCGCTTAGCGAGATATTTCGAGAAAATATATATTAATTATAAATAGCGAGATTATAGAGCTTAATACTTCTTTATATTAAAAAGATAATTTAGAGATAATAAAGATAAGAGCGAAGAAAAGTATAAGCACTATTTTCATTTATTCAAGGGAGATAATAATTCTTCGAATTAAAAGTAGATTATTAATTCTTAATTAAGAAAGAGAAGGTTACTAGAAAGAATTAATAACTCTATTACTATCTAAATATATATTAAATTTCTTTTATATAATATTTATAAGTCTTTTTTTTATATAGTCTATTTTAAAATATAATTATATACTTAAATAATTAATTTATATCTCTATATAATATTTAAAATTAATATCTTATTAAAGAAAAGCTAAGATAAACTATTCTTCTATATTATATAAAGTATCTCTCTTTATATAATATAGATAGAATAAAATTTAAATATATTATCTTTAAAAGAATATTTATATAAAGTTATTTAGACTTTATAGTTATTAATTATTAAGTTTAATATAATTACTAAAACTATTATAATTACTTAGTTATTATTATTATAATTATCTATAATTACTTTATATAAAAAAAGTTATTATAGTTTTTTAGCTATAATAATAATTAACTATTCTAAATAAACTATTTATAAAAGATATTAAGATCTAAATATATTAAAGTCTCTTATTAAAAGATACTCTAAATTAATCTATTTCTTTTATATAAAGATTTATCTATTAATAATTAATATCGTATAAGATATAAATAGATCGTATTTAACTTACTTCTATTATTATCGCTATTACTTCTACTTTTCTTCTATCTTCTTTATTTCTTTATTCTTATTATTTAAAAATCTCTCTAGCTCTTTAATCTAATTTCTTATATAATTAAATAAAGATTCTTCGTTAAAATAATTTAATAAGTTATAAGTTATAGATATAAATATAATTAATATTATTACTATTATTAAAGCTACTATAGTAATAGAAAAAGCCGACTTTATATAAGCTATTATATCTATTATAATAATAAAAAAAATTAACTTTATATAAATCGCTAAGAATATTATAATAATAAAAGAAAGTAACTTTATATAAGCTACTATAAATACTATAATAACGAAAGATTTAAACTCTATATAAATACAATTAATTAAAAATTAATCGAGAGTTATTATTATATTCTTTCTTTAGTAATTAATTATATTCTTCGATAGTTTATCGAATAATATACTTATAAAAAGATCCTAACGAGATCTTTTATAAATCGATATTTAAGATTCTAATTTAATCGTATAAGACTCTTATATAAATTTAAAGATAGAAAAATCTTCTTACTTATATTAATTTCGAGGGGAAAGAGATTATAAGATACTTTAGAATTATATAAGTTATTTCTTCTTCTTAATCTAAGACTCTTATTTAATTTAAAACTCTTATTTAATAAGAGAGTCTTCTTTAAATAACTCCTCTTCTTTAATAAGAGATTTATATAATTTTATATAAGCTTATCGCTCTTAAGTAACTATAAAAATAATTTATTTCTTTTCTTTATAGTACTTAATAAAGAAATCCCCTTTTAAAAACTCTTTTATAGTTTATATAAGCGATATACTTTTAGAGAGCTTTATAAGATTATTAACCTTAAATTATAATTATATTAAATATTATTTAAAATTTAAATAATTTTTATATAATTATAAAAAATTAGCACGCTCTTAAATAATATCATTATAGATAAAATTCTAATAACTCTAAATTAAATAATAAGAAATTTAAATTATAATAGAGTTTACTTAGTAGTTAATAAATTATATAATATTAATTAAGAGTAAATATCTATTTTTTTATTATTAATAACTTTTATAAAATCTAAAATCTCTATATTCTTAATAATTATAAATTATATAATATATAGAATAATTATAATATTTATATAAGAGCGGTTATTTATTAGCGAGATTATTAATTTTTTATTAGTCGAAGAATATCGCGTAATATTACTCTATTATATACTTTTTATTAATAAAATTTTTTTTTTTTTTTTTTTTTTTTTTTTTTTTTATTTATTTTTTCATTTATTTAATAAGATCTTTAATAATATCTTACGCCTTAATTATATAATAAAACTAAATTTAAAACTCTATTTATATCAAAGCCATATTTTTATACAATTAAAAAAATCTCTAAAATTTAATAGAAAATAATAAATTATTATATATCTATAATAATAAGCTATTTTTACTAAGTAGAAATTTTAGACCAATTTATTATATCCATATCCATCTAGCTAAATATAGATTAATTTATAATTAACTAATATATAAATTTAAGATTTTTAATTACTCTATCTAATTTTTATAATATAATTACTACGTTTTAATTATACGAAATAGATTTTTTATTTTAAAAAAAAAATTTATTCTATTTAATTAATATATAAATAGATTTAGCTAAAAATAATTTAAAGAGTTATTAAATAAATTAATACTTATTAAGTAATCTAAAAAGATTAGTCTAAATAATATTTAAATATAAAAATTATAAGTAATTAGTTAAAATTAATTAAATAATATTTAAATATATTAGAAATAAATTATACGAAGTAAGAATTTATAGTCTTATAGTCTCTATACTATAAGTATTTACTTAAATATTATATATTAATTAATTTATATCTCGATATCTAGATATATATAATCTCTTTTAAATTAGAGAATATTATATATAAAAGTTAAAAAGAAGAGAAATAAGATTATATAATAAGTAATTAATAGATTATAAGAATATTTATAGAATATTATCGACTTCTTATAGCTAGTTTATAAAATCTTTATCTATATTATCTTCTTAAAAGTTTAATTTTTATATATCTTCTAATAATTATAGATTTAATCTAGTCTACTATAATATACTCTTTAATCTTAAAACTAATTTAAATTAAGATTTATATTCTTTAATCTTATAATTATTTACTATTATATAAAGAGCTAGATAATAATCTAGTTATAGCGATTAACGCTTATATAAGAGAATAGCGAGTAATAAATATAAATTAAATTCTCGATAATAAAGAAAAGTATTATATTATTCGAGTATAAAGAATAAAAGATACTCTTCTAGATTTAATAAGTTTAATTAATATTAAATTAATATATAGCGTTCTTTATATAAAGAATAAATTTAAGTTAAAGTTATATATAGTATTCTTAATATAATAAATCTTATCTTTATATAAAGTAGAGATTCGTTATATTAAGAACGCTATATTTATAAAAAGAAAAGATATACTAACTTATCTTAATCTTCTATATTATAATATAATTATATAAAAGTTAATTTATATAAATTAAGTTTATAATTTTTAATATTATCTTTAAAATATTAGAAGAGAATATATAACTTTCTTTATATAGACTTCGAACGATAAAAGTATTTATATATTAAATATATATTTTAATTATTTACGTAGTATATAACTTCTATATAAATTTTAGAAAAGTAGATTATAAGAATTATAACTCAATCGGCCAGAACGTCTTTAGAATACTTTTTAGTTATTCGAAGCGTATTAAAGAACTTTATTTACTTTTTAAAAAGAAATTTAATTAGTTAAACTTATTAAGACTTAATTTATTAATTAAAAATACTTATTTTATATATATAATACTCTTTAAAAGCTATTTTCGAATTATACGTTTATTATAAAGTAAGATATATTTATACTATTAAAATAGTCTCGCTCTCTATAATCGAATTATATAAATCGAGGCTATTATTTAAATATGAAAATATAATCTAAAAATTCTTATAGAATATTAATAGTTATATAATTAATAATATTTATAATAAGCTATAGAATATATTAAATATAATTATCTATTTCGTTATAGATCTTAATATTATAATTTAAAAGCTTATTATAACTATTTATAAATTATATTAGATTTAAATTAAAAATAATATATTTACCTCGCTTTCGCTATATATTCCGAAGTAGTTAATTAATAATATTAAGAAGAATTATATAATACTAGATAAAGAGATAATCTCTAAAATACTTTAATATATATAAAGATAATTAAATTTATATAAAGAATATCTTATAATTAGATATTCTAGTTTTCGAAAATATTCTATTAATTACTCTTATTTATAACTCTAAATTATATTCTTATTAAGCTTCTACTTAATTAATTCTTATAAGACTTTATCTATATACTCTCTCTTTTTTTAACTTAATTCTAATCGCTTAAAGTCGAGCTCTTTTTTAATTTATATAAGATTTTAAGATATAACTTAAAAGCCTTTAGACTTTAGCTATATAAGTATTTCTTTATTTAAAACTTTAATTCTATAGAATAAATATTAAATCTAATTTTATAATTATTTAAAGTCTTTTATATAATTTTATTAATAAGAGTTTTTTTCTTTTAATCGATATTAAAGCGTATAAGTATTAATTTTTAAATCTTTATTATCTATTAGCTAGATAATAATCTTTTATTATTTTTATTACTTTATATAAATTTAATTAAAAATCTTATCTTTATACTCTTCTAATTCTTTAAATAAACGATTATTAGTACTATAAAGAGATATTATATATAAGATCCTCTTAGTAGAAAGTAGAATATCATATAAAAGAGATAGATAGGTAAGGTTATCGCAAAAATAAAAATAAAAAGAGGAAAAAAAAATTAAAGATTTTTTTTTTTGGTTTTGTCGTAATATCAGCCCTCGTCCGCCGTACTTCAGCCAGCCGCCGGTGGAAATCCCCACACTTTCTGTGTTCAGTGTTCACTCTTCCAGGGACAAGGCGGAGCAAGGCTAACAGCTAATACAAGAATCCTACCCAGAAACCATGAGAAGGGCTTCCTCTGCCATTTGCTTTGAGGCTGTGGCCGTCCAGTTATGAGTACTCCAGACCATCATGCCCAGACCGCTACGAATAACCCCACGAACTCGTCTTTGCGCACCCATGTCTCCATCCAACGGGTCTTTCGAGACAATTTCTTGAGTTGGACATGGCCTCCGATCTCGCATCCATAACTTCCAGTGAATACCAGAAACCAGGATTTCGTGAAAAGATCCTCGCTCTCAAGAACAAGGCACCACTCGCTGCTGGCGAGCGCACGGATCCAGCATTCGAGAACTCTTTCGGCGATCAATTGAGCGACCTTGGTGGTCGGCAGCGATGGGTCTTGGTTGGGTTGGCTTTACAAAGATGGCATCAGGATCTGAGGGATCGAGTGGGAGAGGTACTGCGTGAGAATGAAGGAGAGATATACAAAGGCCGCAGTATTCGGGGTACTGCAACGCTGCGTCATTGTTGGATGCTAGGACACGACAAAACATGCGCGCAGCCTACAGTCGTGATATCTTGTAACCAGTCTACGGTCTTGAAGAGGACTTACCGAGTTGTATCTCAGCATGGAGTCCTAAAGGCTGCGAAATTTGCGCTAAAAGCGATACCTTTCTGTGATTTGAGACTTCGGATGGATCGGAGAGTTTCTTTTCTAAGTGGAGAGGACTACACCCTCGACGAAAATGGCGACATCAGACGTGATGATCACGGTCATCCCATACGTGTCCGCCGACTCGGCTCTGAAGACCACCATGAGCATGGCACACAATATCAGGCGAGAATGGGGGAGGAGCAGGACCAAAAGAAGGAAACGTACGAGAAGACAGTCGAGGAGGGAAAACAGCTGGAGCAGAGTTTGAAGGCAATGACGCTTCTGGAGGAGATAATGCCCGTGCAGCATGACATGGACACCTCAGATGAGGAGCACGTACCTCTTCGATTTGGTGCGGAAGAGATCATCGTTCCAGACTCGGGTAGACCCACAACCTTGGGTGGCTTTATCATGGTCGATGATGTTTGCTTTGGCCTTACGACCGCACATGCATTCACTGAAGAAGATGAAGGCTTCGGCCAACGAAGCCTCTCTGGAAGCACAACAGAACTTCCACTTTACGATAGCGATTGGGCCAACGAGGACTCTAGTGATGATGGTGATGAGAATGAAGGGCTGGATCCACCCCAGGAACCCCATCATGAGCGCCGACTACAGCGGAAACGGAAAAGCAGGATTGTTGAAGACCAGAGCTATTACACCACGGCTTGGAATTCTCTTCACATCACAGCCAAATCCCGACTGTCCAGTGCCAAGGGACTCGACTGGGCACTGTGTGAGCTTGGTGATTGGGGCAAATACGCAATCAATGGAGTCTACCTACATCCAGAACTACGAAGCGCCGGAATGCCCGAGCATCTCCTGTTCAGAAACATCAAGTCTACGCCCCCACTTGGTAAGATCTTGGTGGCAACGCGGAGAGGTGCCGTGCCTGGAATCGGCACCGGCTCGGATTGCGCTATCAAGTTTCCGCGAGATAACAGATACCGGCGTGTCTGGTCTGTCGAACTTGGGGAAAGCCTTTCTTCTGGCGATTCTGGATCTTGGGTCGTAGATGCTACAACAGGAGATGTGTATGGCATGATTATAGCTGGAAGTACTGGACTTCGCGAGGAATATGTTATTCCTGCGGTGGAGATTGGACAAGACATTTGTCGAGTCATGCGTGCTAATACAGTCAGATTGCCAACCTTTCAGGATGTTATGACCGCGCACACAGAGGAACGATCGGCTCGGCCAAACTTCGCCTTGAACGATGACGCGATGGGCTGGGAATCCGACGATTCAGATGAGATTCTCGATGAAGAAGTTCTGGACAAGGATGAAGAAGTGAGGCCCCTAATGGATATAGCTGCGCTTCCAAGTGCCAATGTACTTATAAGTATTGCACTGCTAACCACCTTGTGCTTACAGCGTTTTCTCCTTGCGGAGGTTCTTAAGAATTCCTCAATCGATACCGAAACACTCGTCAAAGTCATAAAAGACGCGGGAGTCCGGCCGAAGTGGACCAAGATATCTTTACCAAAAGGTATGAAATATCCTTTATCGCTTGTCGTTGGGGACAGTACGCTTAGGATTGTTGTGTGCCCATGTTGCCAAGGCTAATTTGATTACACATAGGGCGATCTATGAAAACATCGCAGAGGGCAATCGATCGTCTTCTGTCGAGCCGCAGGCTTGAAGAGATCGCTACCCAAGTTGACAGAGAGTTCATACCATTAGAAGGGCAAGAAGAGCGCCGGCCCAGCGGAGATTCCGATTCGAAGAGCGGGGGACCAAAAGTCCCCCGTGAAAATGCCAAGAACGTCGACGATTACAATACGGTGCCAGTGGGAGAGCCACCCGAGCTCCTGGACTCAAACCCGAAGTTTAGGGCAGAAACCTCAAGACGGGCATGGCGCGCGAAGCGGCAAGCTGAACGTGGTCCTAAACCTCATCATCGAAAATCCTATAGGAAGTCTGACGAATTCACTCAAGCAGATCCGACTATACAAACGCCTGATCCAGTCGAACCACAGTCTACAAGCTATCAAAGCAAGTTTGAGATGGATTCAGAAGACGAACCAGGCAGTGACGAACCCGACATCATAGTCGTGAGGCACAAAGGCTCATTGTACAAATTGAAGTTTCCTGCTTTTTCGCTCGCGGGGGGACTGACATTAGTTGGGCACCTTCGGCAGCAAGCAGCGACAGAGTTTGACGTTGAAGACGCCAGCAGAGTCACGTTGGTCTACCAGGGCAAGACCCTCAAAACCGATGCCAGCACCTGCCATGAAGAAGGGTTGAAAATGAGAAGCGAGGTGCTGTGTGTTGTCAAAAGAACGCCGATTGAGGATATTGATTTTCTTTCTCATAAGTTCCATACTGAGCTCGTCCCTCAAGGACTTGAGTTCATCTCCAATACACCTGCTGACCCCAGAAAGAGAGACTTTGAGTACAGAAAGATCAGCGAGACAATTCTGGCACAGATACTCTTGAAGTCTGATGCTGTCGAAACGGAGGACGATACCGCTGCAAGGATGAGAAGGAAAGAACTTAACAAAGAGGTCAACGGCTTCTTGACCAATTTGGATATAGCCTCTCAGAGGGATGTACCTTCCGCATGGCACGCTGACTTTATCGAGCAAAAGCAGACGCCTGGAACACGTCGAACAAGCACAGTTCTGCCAAATAGACCAACTCCGACTCTTTCGCGGAGCTCGAACCTCGGCAAGAGTGACAGCAGAAATGATGATTTATCACGAGCAAGCGGTTGACAAGCTGGCGTGGAAAGTTTTGCAATAAACTCACCTGAGTCCTAGCTAGAATGAGAGCTCGAGTGCATTAGAGAGAAGGGAGAACGCTGTCTTTGGGTGAACGGAGAAATAACGCTCTCTCTCTCAGTCCCCGCGCTCTGATTGGTTCGCGAAGCCTCGGAAGACGCAGAGAACACTCCCCCCCCCCTCTGTTGTATGACGTTGAAGCAAGAGAGCTTCATGCTGGACACAACGTCTTGCTGACATATTACCCACGACTGCATCCTCGCGAACCTTTTTACCTCACAGGCTTTGGAACACTGGGCGAGATATTCACCTACAGCTAGGCCTTCTTCGGGCTATGAGCCATAGCAGAGACTTCTGTAGCTGATCTGCTACTACCGCGCGAGGACACAGACCCAATTCGCCATGAATTGGTTACATTCTCTGCGACTGGATCCCAAGATCGAGCAACATCATGGCTCAAAGACCACAACGTTCCAAAGGCAAACAAAATCAAGATCTTTTCTTCATTCCCAGAAATGCTGGCAAAAGTTAGATTTGACATCGTCTACGTATCTACGCCGCGCCCGCTCCACTACCTCTATATACGAACATCTCTTCACAACAAGCGTAATGTCTTTCTCGAGAAGTCCGTCACTGTGAAACGCGAGCAGTATCAAAAGCTGGTAGCGCTCGCTGAGGAACAGGACGTAGTACTGTTGGAGGCGATGTGGACCCGATACCTCCTAGGGACGAAGAACTTTCATGAAATTATATCTCTCAAGATAGGCCACGTCAAACGTGGCTTCTCCGACTTTCCGTTCCCCATCGCTGCGCCAGAATTGCCGGTATCTTTCTGCTTTCTGGACAAAAGGGTTAAGGACAGCGCGTGCTCACAGCACCTGGCTTTGGGAATGCAGGCCGATGTTCCGATGAGAGTATGGCTGGCGCAAACTCTTGGTCTCTTGTCCTCAACACTCGAACTGAGACGAACATGTGACGGATTTGTAAGGGGGATATGAGGTTGGTTTGGGTCTTTTCGGTTACATTAGGTGGTGGGGTCAAGTCTGCATACTAGATGGTTATGATCGGGCAAGGGTACTGAATAATGTCTTTTAAAACAGGTGACTCTGCAGAGCCGGTCACTCTTCCACGCTATGAAATTCTATGCGAAAGACCTCTACCGCCCATGCAAAAACCCTGAAGGCTTTCACCCTGGAATCTGTTACATCCGCCTCTCCATACAATTCTTCAGTCTTCGTCGTCATTGTTATCGTAGTACCGACCTGCAGCCAGCAATCCAGTTGATAGGATCATTGCTTTTGGCCATTCATCGACATTCGAGTCTGCAGTTGTTGATCCTGCGAATATCATGCTCAAGTGTTGAATGTTGAGAGTTCCTTATTTACCATCAGAGTCTTTTGAGCCCTCTCGAGAATCTGCGAGGATTTTGCCATGGACTGTGAAATAGTGGGCGTGAAGGTCAACTGCCGTCTCAAATTGTGCGAGGCAGTCGACGTTGGTGCATGTATAGGAGTCTTGCTCTTCTGTGGTAAAGCTTGGAGGATCTAAGAGCCCAGCTTCGCGTACACCGTCTTCTCGAGACATCGGCTTGAGGTGCAAAATTTTCATGGCTATTTGAAATAGAGCTTTCTGGTGGGTGGTGGGTGGTGTCAGGAGTGATGGTTCGAGGAATGTTGAGGCTAAATACTGCCACAGCGCTCATTTCCAGTGCTTTCTCTCACGGTACAGAGAGATGCTTCCGAAACACTTACCGACGCCACTTCTGGCCCTTTAGACCTCTCGATGTTCGAATGGAGCAATGGAAGGGTTAATGTATCCAAGAACGACTGTCCTATAGGGCATGCACCCTTGGTCCCACTCGGGGGATGATGTCGAAGTAAATCTCAAGACCGAAGTCTTGCGCGAACATCTAACGTTATCAGCAAGTCGGCTGCGATCAGTAGGGTCATGTTCGAATCTTGCGACCCTTGGCGAATCTCCTTCCCTCCATCGACTGCTGTGTCTGCGAATTGATTTCCTCGAGATGATGGTTAAGGTCTTTTTGGTAGTTTTCATAGTGGTCATTTTCAAAAACCGACGCATGGCACCAGCCGTCCAGGCAATTGGTGACCTGTAACCACTCTCGAAATCGCTTTTCAAAGAACGTCTCAACGAACAGAAGATGAACATGTCCCACGATCTCTTCCACAATTTCAAGGGGGGGCCAGAGGCGTCTCGGAGGGACTCCCATTCTGTTGGCGGAGTCTCAGGGTGGAGACTGTTGCTTTGTCTCTACATAGGCTTCCAGTCTGGCGCCCAGCAGATGGGCGTCCCCTGGGATTGCCCAAGTCAGAGTCACGGTGCTGGACATCTTTAATAGATGTTGCGAATCAGGGGTATAGAATCTGTCTGTCTATAGAAATGTGTGCGTGGGTACGGGCCTAGGGTCTAGACGTAAGAACTCGAGAGTAAAGAAGAAGCTTGGTCCGGGTTGACGATCTCTTTTGCCAGCTGAGAAGATTGGGATGGTGATCCGCTGGGCTGCTTGTGATTGGACTGTTGGAGGGAAGAGTTCGTTTCTTAAGTATGCTCTGGATGGTCGTTCCGGGTGAGTCGTATTGCAAAAGAACAAAGTCACCTTTGACGGGGCGCTGCATCTGCGCGTATGGTACTAAGTCATCCTAACCGACAGAGCCCCTTCCGCCACTAGCATACATGCGAGACCTAATCATCTCGTTGTTCAACAGCCACTGGTTCCAGACTGATCCTGATCAAACGAGAACAGGGCGCCTCTAGGTGCAGACCTTGGTGTGGACTTCTTCTGCATCGTGCAGGCATAAAAGTCAAACACTTGGTAGAGATAAACGCGAGACACAGCTCGCAGTCGCATCTTTAGGGTGATCATATGCTCTTACAAGGAGTATGAGCTCATGACGGCATTACCGAGCCCCTTTTCGGTCTCCAGTATGCAGTTTCAGGGCTTAAAGTGAATTCCAAGACGCTAAGGTATCTAAGAGGCTTTCACGGCGGAGCTATTCTCTGAGCCGGCTTTCCAAGTGTCGTTCTGCTTTCAGTACGATACAGGCTGGGAAATCGCAGCTCCTCGCTCAAATCCCTCCAGCAGGTTCCCGTTTCGATGGTCCGCGGTCGAGACGCTAGGTATGTGTGAAGCTGAGTACTAAATGCCAACCTTGCCTAATTCCGCGATTTCCACCGAGTAATCATGGTGCTCGACCTGGCATTTGAGTACTCGCAGCGTTCGCAGCATCCTCGGCTTCTAGCGTCTGGTAGATCTGTATCTTGTTGTTACCCGTCATGCCATCTGTAATAATACCCAAAACCTGGATGTCTGGCTTACTTCTCGGTGAGCCTGGACGATGGCCTCCTTCAATTCCTCATTCGTGCCCTCATATCCAATGGCTTCCTGTGAGAACCAGTCAGCGTCCACGAGCAATCTCAAGTAGTTCTCAACCTCCCTTGTAGCTAGATGTGCGCTCCGCAGTCCATCCTGGGAAGGTATATGTGCGCAACTGATGACATGGACATTTCTCTCCGCCCGAGAGATCGGCTCGATAAATGCAGGGATCCAAATGCTCCTTGGCGGCTTCGGCTGCCCTCAACATATTACATGCTTGCTTCCATTGAGGCCATTCCCTCCGTATGATGGTTTCGAGTGTTTGGTGTTCTTCAGGGTGGAGGATAGGAGCCATAGTGGGGAATTGGCGAAGCGCTCTCCGGGACGAAGAGAAGATGTCGAGGTATTTTTGGGTCTCGGGATAGAAGTTGGAGGAGAGCGATGTTGTGAGGGAAAAGCGGTCTCGATCGAATAGGTTTGAATATGATTGTGGAGAAAGGGGATTGCGAAGGAAAGATGCTCAGCTTTCGTTCACACGCTTTGGAGCAGGCGGTGAGCCTCTTCGGTTGCCGGCAGATTCTGGTTTTACAGAGGATAAAAGAATGTGAGGCACGACACGGTTGCCTTATGAGTCAGACTCTTGAAACAGGTCTCCTTTCTGGGCTGGCTTGGACGAGGAGCCATCTGAGTACTTCAGTGTCAAATACCTAGCAGCATCACCCTCAATGAGAATGGAAAGACAAGGCTAGTGCTACCATTGCTTTCGCATTCACGGATCAGCCCTGGAAGGTATGTTTAATATACGTTCGGACTCCGTCTAGGTAACCCCGCATGCTAGAGAGCACGGGAAAAAGGCGAAATATGCAAACCGTGAAGATGCATGGTCTTGGTGGTTCGGCGACGGCGTAAGATGCTATTTCTGTGGATCTTCTGCATCGTATGTCAGAACTGCCGAAGAACACATTCGTTCCTTCCAACGTTTCCAAATCTCCAGATCATCCTCCGCAATTCCTTCGTGTTCACTTCCATCTGCTGCATCCTCATCATCGGAAATCCCCTACTCAAAGTATTCCCCTGATTCAACCATCTCCGAGGCTTCGTTGTCTGAACCTTCTTCCTCCTTCGAGTCCCCTGAAGCGGCCATCTTTCCTGCCAACATGTCCAAGCGCTTATCATTTCGCTACGTGAACCGTGTCTGTTCGAAGCCGCGCGGCGATCTACCACTATATGCCCAGCATACCGGATACAGCCGACAGTGACGAGAGACGAAGTCCCATGGTTTGTATTCCAGACACTCGCCCTCTTCTTCACGGGAGCAGACTGCCAGCCCTAGTATCGGGTCCAGCATGTCTCCGGTCGTTTCTATGGAAATTTCTCCAATTCATCCTCACTCTCCCATCATGGCTGACGTCGAGGAACTTGATCATGATGGTCTGGAATCCTACCAAGCAACAAGGCTGCTCGAAATGCAAGGCCAAATCTTGTCTAGATTTGGGAGATGACTGGCGTACATTGGGGTTCAGGTTTATGACCATAGATTTTCGGCAAGTAGTAGGGTAGCGGAAAATATTGATGGGCCTGAAAACCCATGAAGGTTAGAGAAATTCACGACGGCTAGAATTGCCAATAGAATTCTGGAAGTCGACGTGAAGTTGGTAGTTCTGGATCAGGTCGCAGGACAAGCCGGTCTCGAACGGTGGTCTTGAGGGCATCTGGGTCTGGAATAGCCAATGTACATGCGGCAGATCCTTTCTTGTAGAGCACCGCTGTCGCTTCTGCGTCGATGGATTTCGAGAATCGGAGAATGGAGAGGTGACCGTTTGAGAGCACGAGGCCGGAGATAATGTCATGTAGCTCGAGCGGTATGCTGGACAGTATCCCGCCTGGTGTGGATGGTCTTTAATTCTCAGTATTTGAACTGCGTGTTCCTGAATTCTGGTGGACATGGCGGCTGAGATCTTCACGTGGGTGAGGGTCTGATTGTGCACTTGGCAAGGAGGAAAGGAATAGGATGATGGGCAGCAAGAGACTAAACAATAGTGTAAGGTCTCCCACAGTATCGAGAGGTACATTTGCGCCAGCGGTGCTGTGCTTTAGTTAACTTGTGAGATGCTGGGACAAGTCAAACAGTCAATCCTTCCGGACTTGTTCCTCTTCCCCGGTGGTAGTAGCAACTACGAGCGCAGGTTAGTAAACAGTCGTCTCATTAGATGGAATGGTTGGCTTACCATTATCATCATCATCACCAACACGCGCTTCACCCTTTTCCAAACCCACCTCCTAAGAACATCGTCTGAGTCAACGAAGAGGCATGTGGGACACGACTTCGACCCGGAAATTGTTTCAACTTCCAGGGCCAGAGAGTGTACAGTCATCCACGCCCTTTCTGTTCAGTGGCCTTATGAGCGCCGCCTCGAGAATAGTTTGTGGGTGTCGTTGGGGCCTGGGGAGAGTTGAAGGCCGGGTTTGGACGGTAGGCTGCCGTCAAGCCGAGACTTTCTGGGTCGTCAGCCATCCACCGCTTCCTAGGGACTTGCGCTCTTACTTGACACTGCCCTTGCGGGCCTTGTTCTTCAGGTAGAACTCGCGGAGCTTCTGAAGCAGGACATCCGCGAGGCGTCGTGGCGTTTAAAAAGACGAAGACGAAGGCGAAGGTGAAGGCGATCAACGCTACGCAGGAAGTGGTGGAGTCTTGTGAATGCCATGGCTGTGGTGAGTGTGGGTGTGTTGCAAGGGGGTGTATGAAGGAATATGTGTATAGACCGGATAGGGTTGGTATGTTGCTTGACATGGAGGTTTGGGAAGGAGCACTACTTTGTATTATGTTGCTGTAGGTCATGGACGGGGTGATCGCCGTTGGCTGGGCCCCTTCGGCGAATATAAGCGCGTGATCTCCATCATCATAAGTGGGAGCAGTGTCGATTTTTGGTATTGCGAAAGAAGTTCCCCCGTGGCAAAGTGTGTTTCTGCGGAACTGTAATGCCAGATGAATGTCCTTAACCACGGCAACGATCATAGGCACTTCAGCCATGTTAGAAGATGTCGACCATTATTCGGCGGTAATTATGCATCTATGGAAAGTCAATACGTTTGAGATGTGAGTCTAGCGATCCCTCTACGCTTATCCCCACGGAATTCAACCATGATCCGAACAAGAATTATGGTCGCTAGACGAAACACAAAGCCAGACAGGGCCGCAGGTATTCTTTACCCCGGGGTCTGGTGTGGCGGAGGTTGAAGAAATGTTAAGGCATAATCAAAAACAGCGAAGGAACAACTGTCGGCGACAGGCTTAAGAAGGTCAACGGAGGATATCTTACGAACGCAGGAGGAGACCAAGAGGGGTTAGGAGGTGGTGGGACAGGGTTTGCCGAAGGTGGATGTTGACGTGCAGTCGTCTTTGAGGGCAAGGGAGATGGGGACGCAGGGAGCGATGGAGAGAGTGGGAAAAGAGATGGGGCCGGAGAAGAGAAGGGATGAGTGGGATTCTGGTCGTAATCGGAGGGGTCGATTGATATTGGGAGATTTGAATATAGAAAATCCCAGGATCAGAAAACCGAGGGGTGATCGCATGGTAAACTTGATCAAAGGTCACGAATGTTTCCGACTGAAGTCTCATGTTGCAGCTTCGAAACATGCGAAGAAATCACGGAGAATATTCGATTCTGTATGTTATTCGCAATATCACGAACGGCAGACGGAGGTGAGTTGAGTTGTTTTCAGCGCCAAGGATTCCGGAGCTTTCTGCTCACGCTAATGGTCTTGGCACGCCAAAGCGATACCTTACCTTTGGCATTGGTACTATCTTGTGTTGGCTCAGCTCCATCAGCCAATATCGACGACCTACTATTACTTTCAATTCGCTCGTCGGATCTGAAAGACGTGCCTAGGTCTTCATCTAAGGATCTATGCCGAACCTTCAGCGCCCCTGCGCCTTGCGGCTTGACGTTTCAATCTCCGCGGTAGTCCGAGACAGGTACTCTGCCAATTGAACGTCATAGAAGCTTCGGGATGGCTTTGTTCAGGGCGATGGTAGGGATTGGGGATGGAACTGGTGCCATTGTGACTCGTTGAACGAGTAAACAACTTAGCTGGTATGAACGAATAGTCATGGAGAGAGCGGGTGACCTCTACGAGCCAGAGATGCCGGGGAGGTGAGGAGTGAGGGCTGACGGGGAGGTTGTTCTCGGTCAAGAACAAGACAGCAGTCATGACAGGCGCTGCCCGCGGCCCCGGTCTTGCCTTCGCAAAAGTCCTCGCCGAGAATCGGGCGAACCTTGCCGTCCTAGACATCGTACCGCCAGACCAACCCCTGGAGCGGATGAAAACCGACTATGGGATGAGGGTCAAATACTACAAGGCTAATGCAAGGAATTTGACTCGCTGAACATCAAGCAGGTCACAACTCTGCTGGAACGAGGCGTCCTAAATGCCAAGAGTGCTGAGTCGGACAGCATCAGTGCAGCTGAGGCCGTGACAGATGTGCATTTCCTCACCACTTCGGACAAGAACCTCTCATCTCTATTCGCTGTAAACGTACGTCTGCTCTGCGTTTCGACCAAGTCACGAGAAGGTGCTAGTGCTGACTCTGCTCAGAGTTCACAGGCTCTTTCCTCGTAGCGCAAGCGTGCGCCAATGCCATGGTCCGCTGACGACAACAGCGCCCTTCTCAGGACACCACGCTTGAATCATCTGGTGGCTCCATCATCTCATTGGCAGCAAAGCCACCCACATCAGCACGACAGTTCAGCACACCTCCCCCTGCGTCGCTTCCAACGCCGCCGTTTGTAGGCTCGTCAAACCTGTAGCTAGGGAGCTCGCTCCTCTTGGGATCCATGTCAACTCCCTATCGCCTGGTTATATGATGACGGATATGAAGCGTGGGCTACTGGTCAAAATGCCAGAGCTAGTGAAGCATTTTGGGAAGGAGACGCTGTTCGGGCGGATTGGGTATTCAGAAGGGCTGAAAGGTGGCATACTGTTCTTGTGTAGCGACGCTGGGCCATGGTATATAGGATAGGATATGCTGATTCATGGGGGAGCTAGCTCGTGGAATCATTCGGCATTTGTCAAAGACATATCCAAGTGACTGAGGGGACGATCTGCCAATCAATCCTCTCTACTGGATTCTACAGCTGTCTTCACTCTAGAACACTTAGTGTCTTCAGTTCTATTCTCGATATCGAGATCTGTCAACGCAATTTCATGTCGCAGATGTACCTTTAACTAGGTGCGAAGACTGCTCCGTCGTGTGGTCGTTACGCGCTTCAAGAAGACACAAACCTACCTCCACCTCACCCTTTGATCGAGCACGGGGTGAGTGCCGTCTTCTATGGCCGTGGTGAATTGCCGTACGCGGCCTCGTTCGGCTAATGCGCCATTTCGCAGAACTTCCAAACCAGACATTGATTTAAAAACCTCGATGTAGGGTTCTTCTCGGTGCAATGTGCAAGTCTCAGGCATCCAAGAAGTCAGTACCTGTTATTTCCGGTTTTCGATGATCATTCGCCATTGAAGGAGTTGGTGAGCATCAAGACAAGGCTACTCCTGCGGGGTGCACAGTCGTGCATGAGGCTGAATACCACAATTTCACTGCCACAAATTTCACTGCCCGACGATCTTCTTTACAAGGCAGATTTGTCTGCTACCCATATAGTTCCAAATTTCTTAAGCGCCGAAAGCCATCCTAGACCTGCAAAACACTCCGGCCGTGATCAGCCCAGACATCAGACGCAACCAAGGACGCCGCTTTTCAAAAGCCGCTACCCTTGGGTACCTCATAATAAGGGAATGACTACGGATGCATTGCGCCAGCTAGCATTCTCCGTCTGTTTCTCTCTTTCCCAACCCTACATCCAGCAAATCTACAGTAAGTAGCGTCTGCGAGATCTGACAACACCGTAACAGCTGTTTCAGGGAGAGACCGTCACCATGCCGTACAATCTCACCGTCGGCGAAACCACCTCGGAGAGGGAAAGCGGAGACCAAGGGGAAGTAGGCTATGATGGCTACGCGCCGCCGATACTTGACTGCTATCCTCATTCGGAAGACAGCACAAACCTTGAGGATTCCGGTACAAGCAAAAGAAGTTTATCGTCAAGGGCTGGAGATTCTCACGAAGAGCCGCATGCTACAGATCTTGGGAGACAATACCAGAAAAATCGTGTTCCCTCAGAAGACTTCAAGAACCCTATTAATTTAGAAGGTGTACGTGACTATGCTCCAATAGCTGCAACCCGCAATCTGACGAAGGCGCTCAGATTGCCGTCCCAGATAATGAGAAAATGGCAAACTCGACAGCAAAAAGATCACTTCCGGATGCCGCACGCCCCAAGATCAAGGAAGATGAGCCCAGTGGCTTAGGATACTCGAGTGATAGTTTTCGAACCTCGAGAAATGGAGGAAAATTCCCTGATGCGGTATACTTGAGATGGGCAATAAAGCCAGAAACACGCCCCTCTAATCTACGTCCACTCCTCCCTAAGTGGACGGCTAAACACAGCGCCATCTTTCGCTTACTATCGATCCGTCAAGGAATACCACCTATCATGGAGTATAGCGAAGCGTTCCACCCCTTGATCACGAATCTTTTGATCACGCGGGCCCATGGATTGAGCGGCGATCTTGCAGGAATTAACAAAGAGCGGTTCAACCTATGGTTGAGGAGCTTACAGGATGTCCAAATTGATCTGGAAAGCAGCACTAGAGGGCGGAATCTGGAATTGAAGCAGGTTCAGAAAGGGGTAGGTCAAAGGAGGTTCCCTTCCGACCATGTGAGATCGAGATCAAGATATTGGGACCCAGATAGCCCAGAATCCCGCGCTGTGAGGGAGCTCGAACAAGAAATGAAAGCCAGCAGACAGGCTTACCAAAAGACCAAACTGTCGCTCGAGTCGAGAGAATTGTTGGTGGAAAACAACTATCGTAAGAAACTAGCGCTTCTCGAGAACGACTATCAATCGGCAATTTACTACGCGCAAAGAACCGAAAGTTTGCGTACGCGCATGAAAGGTGAGGTCGTCAAACTTAAGACGGAAAATGAGCATATAAAAAGTGACCTCGACACTGTTCGGAAATTTCAAGATCTCGTAGATAAAGTTGAATTTGGCTGGCTGACTGAACTGGTTGAAACAAGCTGGGCGACCCGGGAGGTTCTCTCACCGCATGGCTATCCCATGCATCTGAGCATTGCAGCATCGGATGAGCATGTGTTAGGTGAAGTACTCCCGTTGGAGAGCCTTGAAGGGGGAACCCCCGGATCTCGCCGCCCTGGATTTATAGAAGACGATGAAGATTTACTGCCGAATTGGCCGAAAAACATGACGCAAGATCATGGTGCAAATAACCTCAGCGTTGAGATCCCTCCAAGAACCTCTTACATTTCCAGCGACACATCTTCCGTCCAATCGCAGCAAGAGTTCAACCCCTTCATCAAAGTGGTGTTGAGGAAACCTGGATCAGACATCGACGACTATAGCAGAAGATTATCAAGCATGAACCCTGACACTAGGGGTCGTGAAATCGCCCCTCCCGCTCCTTCTGAATCATCGGAGACTCTGCATGAGAGCCTTTCGCAGAACAACGAATGGGATACAAATCCTTCCTCTGACATCATCAAAATCGACAAATCAGTGGAGGATATACAGTCATTCGGAGTCACACCTCTAGATCCAGCGGTTCATGACATGCAAGACCCGTCTGCGCTGAGGTTATTGGATAGTGCACAGGATCCTCACCTCACATCTCCTGAAAGAAAATGTGTACGGCTTGAATGGCACTGCCATTGCGGCGTCAGGTTGTATGATGATTTTGTTGAGCTACGACCTGGTGCTGCGAAGGAATACGCAGCTGAGTGTCTTCAAAATGTCGCGATTCACCCCAGAAGTGGAACTAAAGGTGCAACTCATGCAAATACCTCTCGTGCAAGGTCCGCATTGGGCTACTGTTTAAATTTCATGGGGAGCTCCGTAAAGTCAAATGGCCCTTTACTTCCGCAAAACAGCGTTCAAAGCCAGGAACAAATCTTGTTCCAAACCACGCTCAGCGCTTCTTCAGATCCGAGGCATACCTTTCTGGAAGAACTCTTCCTTCTCTTATGTATTCCACAACACAGCCACGCAATTAAGCTTTTACAACCCGACTTGACCGGTTGTTCCTCGGATCGGGCATTCTTCTCACTTCTGAAACGCACTTTCGCTCAGACGCGAGGGAAGTTGAAACGCTTTCTGTCGCTCAAGACCATCCGAGGCATCAAATTCGTACAGCTAGAATTGTTCAAGTCCGAGCTCGTGAACATTCAAAAGCAAGACGTCTTCCCCCCAGAAGAGCGTAAGGACGAGTATCGGTACAGTCCCATGCCCGCAGATCTGATCCCGCCTGTTGGGGAGCATCTCATGTTGCACTTGTTGACTTATCCTCAATGTGCGGAAGAGGCTGGCATCCTGCTTGCACGGATACCGAAGAAGTTGAAGGAACGCCTGCGCACATGTCCGACCACTGGGACTGGTCTTGGTTGGGGCATACAGTTTGTAGAAGGTTGGCATTTCAGCATCGTCATTGTTTTGGCCTTTGTCATTTTGCTGCTTGCAAGTCTGGTCTTTCTTGTCTGTTGGACTGTGCTCAAGCATGATGCCCAGAGCGCGTCGGGTGTCGCTGCTTACATTGTTGCTGTTGTCGTGCTCGGCATTGGGAGTTTGCAAGCTGCGTTTGGGATTTGATGGGCTAAATTTCTTTCGAGTTGTGCGCGTTAGACACTTTCGTACTCCTTGCTAGTTTAGGTCGAAATCATAGTATCCGCCCCTATTTGCACATTAGGTGCGGAGGCTGCTTCGTTCTGTGTTCCTCGCGGACTAATAAATGTCCAAATGCACAAGACCCTCGCACGCCCGCGGAAGCTTTCTTCAGCACTGCTACAGGACCTCCGATGTCACGGGATCTTTCGTGTTCAGCAAACTCGTATTCTGAGCGGGCACTTGATCGCGGAGTTGAAATCGCATGAGTAGTCCTTCCCCCCACCTCTTCCAACCCTTTTCTCGCAGAGTGGCAATCGTCCAACCCCGCATCCTTGCCCCTCAAGAAAATCCTTTAGACAGCGCTCAAATCGCTCTCTCTTCGCTTCAACAACCATGTCACGACGCGCCCTCACTGGCGTCCGATCATCTTCGACAAGCCGATAACAAGCCACAGCCAGGTCGTCCAGCATTTCCATGGAGATGAACACCCTCGATGTCGTATATCACATGTCCCACCCCATCTCCCATACGCTGCAAGAGCTGCGGCAGCTCCATTGGGGTACCAGGACCGAAGAAGTCGTTGCCATTCACATGCCATGATTAGGACATCCCTCACGTTTCGAGAAGGGACTCTCATTCTACTTTGTAATGAAAGGTCTGGTCGTCAAGCTTCTGGGAGATCAACGTTTTGCTCATCTAATTTCCCGCCGCACGAGTGGTTCCAATGCATGGGGATCGTTGCGCCAACCCTCAGTGATTAAGTCAGGAGAGGTTTTGAAATACTGGAAGTACGCCTTTCTGAGACAGGGGATCTACAGTGCTCAAGCTTGTGGAAGATCTAATATCATCCTCGTCCCCTTAAGCTCTGCTCCTTCACACGTTCATTTTCTCTGTCCTTGTCCTTCAAGCGCCTGGAAGGTCTCTATCATCCATATCCCTTCTCTATTCGCTCGCACTGTTTGCGCAGCTGTCGGCTCCTCCACTCTCGCCCCGTGATTGTTGACTTGGACCTGTATCCCGGGCTGCCCAGTTACGACAATCGCCTTCAGCTCCAACGTCGTCAACCTTGGTCCAAAGCTTTCTGGCTACGATGGCGAGCTTTCGTGCTGCTGGCTAGCCTGATTGTGCTCACGAGCACACCATACTCTGAAGTCCTTTGTAATATTCCTCTTCATACGCTCTCTCGACCATGCTCTCCTCGTCCTTTCCCTCCTTCGTCATCCCTACATCTCGCTGCTGCGCTGATGGAAAGTCAAAGTCTGGAGCAGTTGGGCGGAACTGGTGTGGGGAAGAGTCGCTTGTTGGGACAAGTTGCTAATGGGAAGGAGAAGAGAGGGGAGGAAGTGGGGGAAGTCGGTATTCCATGTGCAATCTTTTAGATTTCTATCATTACGTATCCATAATATATATTACAATTGGGATAGATAACAACTATGCTAGAGAAACAGAAGATCTCATGCTTTCTGGCTTTTCTGCAAAAGGAGGAATTATGGAGGTCTCTTTCCCTGATACGGCGGACGACGGCTGACACTACGACAAAACTAAAAAAAAATTCTCTCTTCGTTTTTTGTTTTTTTTCTGTTTTCTTTCTTCACAATTTCTAGTAGTTCTCTTCAAAATATTCTTTCTAGAATATTCTTCTTGAAGTACTTCTCGAGGTACTCTTCGAAGCACTCCTTTAGATACTTCTCGAGATACTACTCTTCGAGGGGTATTTTTTAAGGCACTCTTTAGGGGGCACTCTCCGGGGTACTCGGTATTCGGGTTCTCCGGGGTACTCTTTAGGGTTCTCTCCGAGGTACTCTTTAAGAGATATTCTTCGAGAAAACTTTTCAAGAGATACTCTTTAGAGAACTTTATAGAATATTTCGAATAAAGAGAATCTTAAATAAAGAGTAAAGTATTGCGAAGAGTATCGTGGAGATTATTATAAGAGAGTATCGCGGAGAGTATTATAAAAAGTGCCGTAAAGTGTATCGTGGAAAATACCGCGAGAAGAATCTTCAAGAAAAGTTTTTTAAAGAGAATCTTTTTAAAGGCGCTCTTTATAATATAGAATAATTTATCTAAAGATTATTTACTCATTTAGAGATAATAATCGTAGAATCGATTGTTTTTTGAAAAGAAATTTTGAAAAAGATTTGCTGGTTTAGTTATGTCGTCGCGTACCTGAGAGGTTGGAAATAGAGCACTCTGCAGGGGGCTCCAGGGGTTGTCTCCGGCTTGGGAACGTCCGGAAATGAGACTCCGCAGGCGGGTTGAGTGTGAGAGCGTGGCATTCATTTCTCTCTACCTGTGTTGGGTTCTGCAGCTCCAAACTTTTTGTTCATTTCAACCTCATGCTTCGAAAACGGGTAAGTATAAAATTGCCGTGTCAGATTTGCATGTTAGGTGCGGAGGCTGCTCCGTTGTGTCGTCATTGCTCGCCAAGAAATTGCAAAAGTGACGTTTCCCTCAATTTCCAACCTCGCAACCCAGTCAGTTACTCTACTTCCTCTACACGCCTCATATGAACATCGTCAGCCTCCGAACCCTACGACCTGCAACTCGATTCATTCACACACCCACTCTCACCAGGACTTTCAAGCCTCATCTCCTACTCTATCGACCTTTACCTTCGCACCACGGTATAGCAACAAACAACATGGAGACCAACAATAAAGACCTGGAACTTTCCAACCTTTTCGACGTGAAGGGCAAGGTCGCCCTCATCACAGGCGGAGGTCAGTCAAACAGACAATCCACTCTGCCAAGAGACAACACTGACATGGACCAGGATCCGGCATTGGTCTTATGGCCGCCCAAGCCCTTGCAGTCAACGGTGCCAAGGTCTACATTGTTGGGCGTACAGAAGAAAAACTTGAGAAAGTCGTTGAGGTGCACGGGAAAGGCATTGCCGGCGAGATCATACCTCTTGTTGCCGACATTACAAGCAAGGAAGAAATCCAGAGGCTTGTGAAAGAAATCGAGTCCCGCGAGCAATGCCTCTGCATCCTGATCAACAACGCCGGTATCGCAACCTCAAAACAGAAGCCGGAAGGCGAGACAGCGGCCGAGTTGAAGAAGAACCTCTTTGATCCAGAGAACGCCAATTTCGAAGACTGGGCGACGACCTACAAGACCAACGTGCCCCAACTCTACTTTATGACCCTCGCCTTCCTCCCTCTCCTGGAGAAAGCCACCGAGCACATGAAGGGCTATACTGGCTGCGTCATCAACATCAGCTCTATCTCTGGCCTGGTCCTCAAGTCCCAGGCCCATTTCTCCTACAACGCGAGCAAAGCCGCCGCAATCCAGGTGACCAAGCTGCTGGCCTCAGAGATTGCCAACGCCGGCGTCAAGGTCAGAGTCAATTCTATTGCACCAGGTGTCTTTCCGAGTGAGATGACGGCCGGAGAGAGCAAGGACAACCAGAAGAGTGAAATACCGGCCGAGAAGTACGCACACCTGCCAGCACGTCGTCCAGGGAATGATAGGGATATGGCCAATGCGGTCTTGTTCATGGTGACGAATCAGTATCTCAATGGCCAGATCGTGCCTGTCGATGGAGGGTACTTGCTGAAGTTCGGGACGTAGGGGAGAGCTGAACATGTCAAGCCGTTCGCAAAAGCGGTATTGCATCTGCACCTCTACTCTGGTGATTTAGTCCGGCATGCAAAGACACGATACACATGAGTTGCATGAGAAAAGTTTACCATGCTCATCATTGATTTACAGTATCTCATTCGCGTGACCAGTAGTCTCGCCCCTTTGCCATTGCTAGTGGCTATGATATCGCTACGAGCGTGGAACGACAGTCTTGACATAATCGTCCTCGGAATACAGACATAGGGGGCCGACAACACCAATATAAGATGATATACCGCCATAGATAGTTGCAGAAAGCCGGTTCTTCTAAGGCACCGCCATGGCGACGGAAGCTGTCGACGCTTTTCGTCGCTTTCAATCTTGCACCTCCCAGCTCTGACATCAACATCGCTCACGGTACGCTCCTTCAAGCCTAAGCCCTCGACCTCGCTCTCGAAGCCTTTCATACGTGAACCTCCGCCCCAAAATCCAGAGAACATCAACCGTTCTCGCCCTTGCGCCAATTGGTGAGTAATCGGAGCCTTTGCGGCAGCACCAAATTTTTCGCTATAGCGGGAGCCCTTGACATGATGTCGTAGAGAGGAGGGTCTCGTAGGCCTCGAGACCCCTTCTGCAACGTCGTTGATCATCTCGAAGACCGCGCTTCGCTACGTCGTTTTCGTAGGTCTTGATACTGACCGGGAAATGCGGTAGAGTACGTGAGGCTGATGACAGTGAAGATTCTCGTCCAGCTCCTCTGTCCTTGAACAGGCATCCGGCTCAGCGCGATTACCTCCCAAACATTCAAGTCCCAGGCTATGCTCCTTCCATCCCCGAAGTCTTGGCGAATGAACGACAACGCTCGCTCGCTTGCTGTCCCATGGCGAGCCGCACCCAAAGATGGAACCCTAATCTTGATGCAGACACAACGCATTACCAGACAGCCTCGCCTCGCGCTCTCGTCTATCGACCACAAAGAGATGATCATACACGTCCCGTAAGCCGCATCCTACGCCCACCTCCGAAATTGGATCGTCCTGTTAAGGAAAAGGGACCAACGGTACGATGCTCCATACCTCTTCCACTGAAGCGGCTTTGGCGTGATCAGGGCATTCCACCTAAGTACCACTATTCTCCCTTCCCTATTCTCATCAGCATAAACCTCTCGTGACCAATCGCATTTCTTGTGCAGTCACACTGCCATCCAATCAAGTCTCCCTGCCTTCGTGATTGTCGCTGCAACCCTGCCGCATTTGTATCATCGATGCCTCTCATGAAATGTGCGAGCACCCTGCTGACATGGTAAAAGGATGTGGATCGGGGTGAGACAAGAACTTCGCATAGTTCTGCTTTACCTGATTACCATCCATCCTCTCTGTTCATTTGTTTCAATTTTCCTACATCAGTCGGACTAATCTCGACAGTGAGCGATGCATCTCTTTACAGTATCCGCAGTGCTGGCGGCTCTGCCACTCTTCATTGGCAACATACGGACCAAGGCAGTCTTTGCGCATTACGTGGTATTATGCTTCATCCTGTCGCAGAGTTGCTGCTAAACTCAAGCGTCAGACTGGTACTGTGGATTAAGATCATGTGCATTAGGACATCGACGATGCGATTGCCATGGGGTAAGTATGGTCTGTTCCCTGAGCCTGATTCGACCCTAGTGATGGCTCAGACTCGATGGCTTTCCCCTGAATGTTGGCGACCCAGCACAAGAGTATTTTGTGACAATGATTGGCTATCTTTTCGGATATGCCGCATACAGGGATTCCAAACTTTCGTCAGCATGGACCTTTACGACCAAGATAATTTGGACGACTATCATATCATTCTCACGGATTACCTTGGCAACACTGCGTGGTATTTGGGGCCAAATGGCAAGCTTACGATGTCGACTTTTTCAGACGGTGGACTCAGTATCAGTACTTGGACAGGTAGCCCAGGATCCCATTTCGGTTCTAAGTCCTTCATTCTGACATACATCATAGCTTGAAAGACAGATCTGCTTCGGAAATGTGTTTCATTCCTGACTTTGACCATACTGCAGGCTACTAGGAAGTCGCTACCGAGGTGAGTCTTGTGTCATAATTATGCTACTTTGCTTTGATTGAGGCCTCAAATGTAGTGGTGGTCCTCTTGGGGTAATTTAATGGATGGTACATTGAGCTGGGAAGCTGCACGGCCGTTGAAGGGCGGCTTCGGTGGTAGTCAACCCGGAGGAATCTCCCCTGATTTGCCCGTCATTGGTGCCGCCAAATCACAAGGCAAGGGTTACATGATGGGTATGCTTGACTCTGATCACTGTGATTAATCACCGCTGACGATCACGTAGCATTGAGCACGCTCCAGTACAAGAATGCTGTATATGACTCCTCTCTTTCATTGACCAAAGACATTCGCCAAATCACAGCAGATAGAATGGCACCAATGTCTATCGTGCAGGCGGCCTCAACCTACTTCTTCGCATTTTGAAGATTCACAGCATGTCTTCACAACCTGACTTCGTTGAGATTATCACATGGGCAAGTCTGACATCACTCCGAATAAAATTTCAGTCCAATATCTCTCAATAAGATGACGGCCCAGAAAGCCATTACATCGGCAACATCAGGCCTGAGTCAAATGGTGACCCTCAGCGATCTCCGTACACAAGCCAAGTTCGATTCCCATACACTGCATGGCAACCACTCATCACCTCGTTCATCCATGCATGGAAAGCTGGTGGCTCCGCTTCCCCCATGTCCACCCCTTTAGGCACCCAAGCTGTTGGAGGAGCACTGTGGTACAAAACGATCTCGCCAAATACCACTTGCCGAAAGGATGGCCAAGGCACGTACTAGGAGAAACCCGACGGCTTTGAGACCGGCACCAACACGCTCAACTGGGCTGTCATCTTGCCAGCCGGTTCGTCCGGCATGAAGATCCGCGTCATCAGCAACTACATCGTCTGGCAAATCGTGGGCGGGCCGGGACTGAACTTGGCTCGCGTGGTGGAAGTGAAGGGATGAGCAGCATCTTGAGTTGCTGGATGCTGGAGGGAATGTTGTCGTGTCGACGACCAGCGGCAGATGCGTCGAGGGTGACTGCCCGGATGGGATTTATAATATGAACTATCACGTTTTGGGCTTGGCTCACGGTAACATTGCTGGTAATGGTTGTGTCAGTATCGCTGGTGGCGCGCTGGGTGGCGGTGGAACTCCCGAGAGTGCTGGTGGTCCATATTTCGGCGACGTAAGGGTACCATTTGCGGTGAGTAGAGGCGCTCAAAGCTCCTATTGGCGGCAGTGATTCATCGTTCAGGTCCCAAAGACAGGAATAGGTAAAAGGTCGGAAAGAGACTGTAATCTTTAAAAGTAGAGATTAATTCGCTTAAATAAGATAAAACGTTTATAAATTATAGTCGTAATAGCGGTAATAATATATTAAGATTATTAGCGATTTTAAAAATAAAGAGAATTATAAATAATATTAATTTTAAATATAATAACGTCATTTAGCAACCTCGAAAAGATAATTTAATTAGAGAAATTACTAATCTATTATAAAAAGAGTATTTAAAAATATTAAGTCTTTAATATAGAAGATAAACGAGGCGTTTTATCTAATTTCGAAAAACTTTTTTATTAAAAAGATTAAGATTCTTTAAATTTATTAATCTTTTAATAATAATTAAAAAGAACTATAGACTAATAAGAAGAATAGATTTTTAAATTATAACTATATATAATAGAAGTTTATTAACTTTCTATTAAATTAAATCGAAGATTTAATAAATCGCGGATTTAATATTATTTAAGCGTATATAAATATTAATTAAAGATATATAAATATAATTAAAAAAAAAACTATACGCTAATTTAATAATTATCTTTAATTATTAAAAGTCTAAATAAATCTCTATATTAAGAATTAATAAATATATTACTTATTTATAAAGCTTTATATAAATCTTTATTATTAATTTTTTTTTTTTTTTTTTTTTTTTTTTTTTTTTTTTTTTTTTTTTTTTTTTTTTTTTTTTTTTTTTTTTTTTTATTTTTTTTTTTTTTTTTTTTTTTTTTTTTTTTTTTTTTTTTTTTTTTTTTTTTTTTTTTATTATTTTTTTTTAAATTTTTGATTTTTAAAAATTTTTTTTTTTTTTTTTTTTTTTCTTTTCCCCCCTTAAAATCTCCCTTTTTAAGTAATTATTAATAATTAATATTTAAATTATATTAACTAAGTGAGATAAACTTTTTAACGCTTATAATATATTTAAAAAATAATAATAAAAAGTAAAGTTTTTCTAGAAAATATAAAGTAAGTAGTATTTTTATCTTATAAGAGAATTAATATTAAGAAAATTAAAACTCTTAATATAATAAATTATAGTTATCGCGAAGATAAAATAACTTTAATTTAAAAGATAAATAATTTTAAAATTATAAATTAAAGAATAAATTTAAAAATAATAAGTTTTATTTAAATAGTATAAAATATTATAATTATAAAGAAAAATTATATTAATATCTATATTAGATCGAAAAAATAAAAAATATAAATTTTAATAATATATTAATTAATTTAATTAATAATTATAAGCTTTACGTAATTAATTTAATAAAAAAAGAAAAATCTTTATCGAAGACTTTATAATAACAAGGGTAAAAGTAGAAGTAGTATTTATCTTATCGTTAATTTATAAAGATAAAGTATTTTTAAATAATTAAAGCGAGTTATAAATTTCTATCGAGATTTATTTTAATAATAATATAGAGGTAAATATAATAAACTAGCCTTTTATAATTAAATAGAATCTAATTAAAATTAATAATCTCTTATTAAAATCTATATAAATATATAGAAAATTAACTTATTACTATAATATCTACTCGATTATCTATTATCTATAAAATAATTAAAAGATATATTAAACGCTATAAATATATTTTCTATATTATTAATAAGAAAGATCTTTTAATAATTTTAAATCTTTTAATTTTAATTAATAAGTAAATTAAGATAAATATAAAAGATTAAATCTAATATTTTAACGTTAAAAAGTAATTACTAAAGATTCTAGTATTTTAATAATTTATAAATATCTTAAAAGAATATAAGATTATTTATATATTAGTTATAATTAAAATAATAATTAAAAATAAGAAATATAAAATTAATATAATTAAAATATAAAATATTTATATAAATAGCGTAGAGATTATTTTTAAATTTTTTAATAAGTTAAAAAAATATAAAGATATATTCTTATTAAAAGAAGTAAGTTAATTATTATTATATAAAAATCGCAATTATATTATTAAAACTACGACGAAGCTATTATTTAATTTACTATATAATTTATTTAATATAAAATTAGTAATATTAAGAATCTATTTTAATAAAGCTTTAGCGAAGAGTTAAATTAGATACTCTATAAGTTTAATAGAAATTTTAATTCTATTTATTTTAAAAAAGAATAAAGATTTATATTTATATATTAATTATTATAAACTAAATAAGATAATTATTAAAAATTAATATTTCTTATTCTTAATTAGCGAGACGCTTAACCGCCTAAATAATTTTAAATAATATATTAAATTTAATTTAAATAATATTTATTATTATATATAAATTTATAAAGACGATAAATAAAAGATAGCGTTTTATATATATTACGAGTATTTTAAATATCTAGTAATATTATTTAACTTAATTAACGTCTTAATAATCTTTTAAACTTATATTAATAAGACTTTAATTAAACTAGTTAACTAATTTTATATAATATATTTAAATAATATTCTTATTTATTTTAATATAAAGAAGAAGTATTTAGATTATATAAAGTAAATATTTAATTAACTTAAATAATATAGTCTTTATATAAATTTAAAAAATATAAGTTTTTTATTATCGAAGTAAAATTTCTTAACTTTATAATATTTACTATTAATATTATTATAAATAAATATAAAATAGTTATAATTTAAGAGTAGTTAAAATTAAAAGACTATTATAATATATAAGCTTTTCTAAAGTTTATAAATTTCTATTAAAGATTTATTTATTATTATTCTTAAATTATAAACTTTTTAATAAGACTTTTTAAAAAGAAGCGAAAAAGATATTAAGTTAAGATTATTTCTATAACTTAAGATTATAGAGTATATATTTAAGAAGTTAAAAGACGTCTTTATAATTATATCTCTTCTAAAATATTTTAATCTTTAACTTCTAATTCGAATTAAAATTAATATCTTATTATTCGCTATAGCGAGTATATTAATTTAACTATATATAAATAAATAATAATATTTAATCGCTTTTTATTCGAGAAAGATAATTAATATAAAGTATAATTATAAAATATATAATTAAAAACTTCTCGCGATTATTATAATATTTAAATATTAATATTACTATTTAAAAATAACTTTTTATTCTATTAAGATTTTTATTAATTATAATAATTTAAAGTATTTTATAAAATAATTAATATTAAATAATAGATAAGCTCGCTAAATAATAAAACTCTTCTTATATAATTTTTTAGATTTATATAAACTAAATAAGATAAACTTTAATAATATATTTTTAAGACGTTTTAATTATAAAGACGAAAATAAATTAATTAATAAGCTTCTTTTTTATATTATAATAAAAATTAACTAAAATTAAAAGTCTTTTAAATTTTATTTTAGCTATTATTAAGATAGCTTATAAAAATTATAAAAATTATATATATAAAAAATATAATTTTAATAGTAAATTTCTTATTATATTAAATAATTTAAGTATAGATAAAAGTTTCTTAGATATTAGTTTTTAAAAAAAGTATTTATAAAAAAGATAATATTTAAGAATTTAATAATTATTATAATATAAGAAACTTACTTAAATATAATATATTCTTTAAAATTTAAAGAATTTTAATCTTTAATAAAAGAAAGCTTAAGTAAGATATTTATTTAATATATTCGTAATATAATTAATAAGCGACTTAACTCTATTACTAAAACTATTAATTATAAATAACTCGTTTTATATTTAATTATTAAAGTATTAATAATTAGTAAAACGATATATAATATAAATAATAAGTCTATTTATAAATTTATAAAAATACTTTAATAAGAGAATACTTTTATTAAATAGTATAAAGCTAATAAAATAGTAAGTAAGCGAATATAAAGCGTTAATAATTAAATTTAAAATAGTTAGAAGTTATTAAGATATAATAATAAATTATATATCTCTAAAAAAGACTTAATTCGAGAAGAGCTATTAAAATACTATTATAATAATTTTATAACTAGATATTTTAATATTAATAAGATATTTAAATTAATAAATAGAAAATATTATTAAAATAATATTCGCGTAGATATTAAGAAGTATATTAATATATATAATATCTATTAGCGTATAAAGATAAAACGCTATTATCTCTATAATAAATTAGATATACTTTCTTTATTAATAAGATTATAAAAGAAAATTATAATAGACTTTATTATAAATCTTTCTTCTAATAAATATAAAAAGTATATTTATAACTCGATTCTTATAATAATTAATTGATATATTAAAATATTAAGATATATATTTATTAATAAGATAATTAATATTATATAACTAGAAGAGTTATTTATAAAGAAAATTATTCTTCGATATAAAGTATTAGAAGATATTATTATAAATTAAGAATTTATCTTTATAAATATATTTTAATTAGAAGTTTATTATTAATTATAAATAAAATATAAATTAAGTATTATCTTTTATTTATAAATTAATAAATAGATAAAGCGATAAAATTAGATTTTAAAATATTATTTAAAAGTATATTATTTAAAGCGATAAGACGATTAAATAGAGCTTCTATTAATTATAAAATTTATATATTATTAAAGCGAGTATAAAATAATTAATTATAGTCTATTCTTCGCTATATATAAATATTAATTAAAACTTAAATTAGTTATTAAGAATAGCGCTATTAAGAGAGAAATATCTATAGCGAAAG